CAGGACTGGATGAATCCCAAGCCGGAGTTAAGATTGCCAGAAGAAATATCTGGAATCTCCAATATGTAGATGATACCACTCTGATGGCAGAAAGTGAGGAGGAATTAAAGAACCTCTTAATGAGGGTGAAAGAGGAGAGCACAAAAAATGGTCTGAAGCTCAACATCAAAAAAACAAAGATAACAGCCACTGGTCCCATCATCTCCTGGCAAATCACAGGGGAAGATATGGAGGCAGTGACAGATTTTACTTTCTTGGGCTCCATGATCACTGCAGATGGTGACAGCAGTTGCAAAACCAAAAGACCCCTGCTTCTTGGGAAGAAAGTGATGACAAACCTAGAAATCATCTTAAAAAGCAGAGATATCACATTGCCGACAAAGGTCCGCATAGTCAAAGCTATGGTTTTTCCAGTAGTGATGTATGGAAGTGGGAGCTAGACCATAAAGAAGGCTGACTGCTGAAGAATTGATGCTTTTGAATTGTGGTGCTGGAGGAGGCTCTTGAGAGTCCCCTCGATTGCAAGGAGAAGAAACCTATGGATTTTGAAGGAAATCGACTCTGAGTGCTCACTGGAAGGACAGATCCTGAAGCTGAGGCTCCAATATTTTGGCCATCTCATGAGAAGACTCCCTGGAAAAGCCCCTGATGTTGGGAAAGTGTGAAGGCAAGAAGAGAAGGGGATGACAGAGGACGAGATGGTTGGACAATATCATCGAAGCTACCATGAATTTGACCCAACTCTGGGAGGCAGTGGAAGACAGGAGGGCCTGGTGTGCTCTGGTCCATGAGGTCACAAAGAGTCAGACACGACTTAACAACTAAAGAACAACAACAACAATCTCCTTAAGAAGGACCCAAGGCAGCTTTAATCATTAAAAGACAATATTTAATGCTAAAATCAGTATACAAATACTAAAAAAAGAGACAATACCACACTGAAAGACAGTAAACAAAAGCAACACCACAAACGCATTTAAAGCAGTCAGGTATAGCAATCCATTGAAAAACCCCACTCAGGCAGCTGGTCAGAAGGCCACCATATAATGGGTCGGCCAATTTATTCATATTGCCTAGTGACTTGTTGTGGTTCCCTCAGTTTCAGACAGAGGTCTTTCAAAACCCTGGCAACACAACTCTATTAGGAGAAGACCATGGGGTACTGAACATTTAAATGTATGAGCCACAGAACTTGGCTCTTAAGATGAACAGTTCTAAGCAATGTAAGACAAAAACTATCCAACAGCTGAGATTGAAAAAGATAGAAAGAAGCTGGTCTACACTGCTTGTTGAATTTACAGTTTCTATAAGATTTGTAGATAGTGCTCTTTCAGTAAACCCTGTAATATTGTGATAATAGTTGAATTCAACAGGTTAGGTCCAGATTTTGTCACTGCCTAAATAGACACAGCAAGAGAGACTTAAATTATGAATCTGATTTCTCTTTGGTGAATGATGACATCCACTTGTAACCCAATGGGTTGCAGTTGTTGTTACATCAGAATAAAACTTCACCAGAGCTGCTTGTATGTACTTCCATATGTCTATTCCTGGCCCTTTTGGTATATTGCTGAACATGTTATCTCAACTATAACGTGTGCATTATTTTCTTCCAACAGGGAATATTTCCAAAATCTTTTATCCACATCAAAGACACTGGTGTTGAAAAGAAAAGGTATCACATTCAGATAATTATTTTACTGTACTGTATGTTTGACAGGCATCTTAATTCATTTTTGAAGTGACACCCACCTAGAACAAATTGTGTTAGAACTGCAACTCAAGAAAGGAGAGCCTTATGATCAACCAAATCACCATTCTATACTTCATTTTGATTGTGACTACAGTTTTTACTCTACATGTTGAGGTCATGCCACAAAGCTGATTGGCCAGAGTAACACAGAGTTAACTGAGAGGATTGGCTACCTCAAGATGTGTTGATAGCCAGTTAGCTTTTAGAAATGATCACATGGATACCTGAAGTCCGTCAATAGCTGTGTGGTGTGGTAACTAAACCCACTGCCTATGTTTACAGAGGTATCAAATGCCCAGAGGCAAGAAAGTGGAGGGTGGCTGTTTTCTGAGACCTGAGGGACATTGGTGGGCTGCTTGTGGGAACAAAATAATGATTAGCTTGGTTAAATAATTTCTATAAAGGAAGGTTTAAAGGGTCCCTTGCAGAAATTCATTCTTATCACAAAAAGGAAAAGCCTAGAGATGTACCCCAAGTAGCTGATGACTAGGCATTTTCTTTCCTGTACATCATTAAAAACGTATTCGGTATTTGTAGCTTGGAAACACACACGCGCACGAATGCACATGCACACACACACACACGCACACACACAGATCATTTTTTAAAGTAGAAAATTACATCTATTACTTTCTTAGTATGCAGCTTGTTTCATATGTAATAGAAAACCTACTTTCTAAATGTACAAATATTTTTATATGTTTTTACTTGTGATATTTTAAATTCAGGTAAAATTACTGGGAGCAGCCAGGTTTGAGAATATGTTTATCAAAAGAGTACATGTAATTTTTTTTTTAAAGAAAGATGGAGATGCACTGCCATTGGGGCTCCTGTGTTGACTCAAAGGCTGAAGGACCTTGGACAGCTCAGAGCTAGAACTTGCTCCTGGAATTCAACTGGCTAGGCAACCTCTCCTCGGTTTAGGGTCAAACTCATGGGTTATATTAGAAGCTGAAATCCTTTAGTGTCCCAGAGACATGACTCGGGCATACCTTGTTGACTCAGCAGTCATACATGCAAACAAAATTCATGCTTTCCTTCCAATGACAAATCACACTACAAAGCAAGCTAACTGTGGGAGGCATGTAGAGTGGCCATAAGATGTTTTCAGGACTTAAAGAATTCCATCTTGTAACATATGAAGATAATGTAATATTTGCTAAGATTCCTTTTCTTGAAGAACCTTAAAGTGACAGTTCTTTAGCACTCAGGCTCCTTTCTCTCAGTTGCTGTTGTGCTGACAAGCACATCTTGGTAAATGGGAAGACTCCGGTGTAGAGGGACTTAGAACTTGGATAAATCTGGTCCAGAAAATTCCGGTCTTTGGAGTCTTAATGCAGATGTGTCAGGCTCAAGGGGCCTGATTTTTAAGGCCTCCCGGTTCTGTGGCTTGCAATGCTGGTTTTGATTTGGCTGGTCACCCATTCAATGGATAAACCTATATTTTTCTTTCCATTCAGAAATGCAGACAATGTAATCCCTGCTGAGATCCCTTTGGTGCAAGAGGTTACCTGTACATTGTGGGAATGGGGGAATATCTGGAAACAACTGTATGTGGTAAGTTCTTTAAGTTACTCTTTTGTTGTAACTTCAGGAGAATAAACATTGACATGGGTAGATACCATGTTATCCATATTCAGTAGGCTTTGTTAAAAATAAGCTCTTTATTACTGTATTTTGTCTGTAATTTCATGAGTAGAACTCTGCTTTGTGAGTTCTAGATAAAGAAGCAATCACTTTACAGTAGTGACAAGTGTGCGTTCTATTGTTAAAAATTTGCCTGCATATTCCGTTTTGAAGTTTGTGTTGTTTTAATCTCTGACTGACCTTTAGTGCATAATCCAAGTGTTCATTGTCTGATGATGATGGAAAGCACCTGTAATTCTAAAGTAGTACTTTTGCTTATGGGAGAAAGCTGCTATTATGTCTTTGCAAACAACCTGTCTGTTTTTAATGTGTTGTGACAGGCTGTCCAATCTGAGGGAAGCAAATTTTGTGTGCCAAAGGATAGTGCCAGTGTGTAGCCAGTGTGTTAAACCTTCAGCAGAAACCTCATACTTAGAAATACCTAGAAACGGTCTTTATTTTTTAAGGTGCCATTATTGGTACGTGTGGGGAAAGTTATATAATTCAATGAACATTTTTGCCTAAAGCAAACTGAAGTTAAGGGTGTAAATCAGAAATCCAGTGGCTTCTTTTTCTGAAAGATGAATTATCCCACTGAAGGATTTGCTACCAAAATAAAACTCTCAGGCTATAAAAAAAGTACTCACTTTGATGGATATATTGCCACCTTTCCTATCCTGTGAAGACACAAGATAGTCTTCATTTTTCTGTATAGTGAAGATTGAGCTTGTGCAGCCTTTTATGTTGCACAGTCCATTTTGCTCTTTCACCTGTTTTACTTTGATCCATCAATGTCTACCAGGACCAAAATATACATTCAGAAAAATGTGCGGCTCTTGCTTTTATAATGTTTCCTCACCAGCAACTATGATCTGTTTTGTTTTGTGTGACTCTCAAATCAGACATGAAAGGAAGCCATTATTTATATTTTTGAGGTAATCCTGATAATATGGTTCTCCTTTTAATGGGTTTTCACAATTGTACTGTTTTACCACTTGAGGGAGTATTTATGCTAAGAACAGATTTCTTTCTTTGGTTTGGTCCTCTCTCTAAAACTGTGATGCTGCTGGAAAGACAAAGAAGTAGCCTGGGTGGGATGTCAGGCTTTCGAAGTATGAATTACAGAATTGTTGTTTTTGTTTATTTGTGTTTAGGCATACCAGTAAAAATTGATTACCAATTGCATTAGTACAATTTTTGTTTATGTATTTCCTTTGGATTTTGTCACTCTTATCGGAGTAAAATCTGTGCTCGATAGCAGTACTGTATTAAAAAGACCAGCTACAACTAGTATTCCAAGGAATGAAGAGCTAGGAATCACTGTTCTAAAGTATAACTAAAATGCATCAAATATTTGTCACAAATATTGTATGTATTTGTATTGCTCTCTGACTTCCACATTATTTGTGGCTTGAAAGTTATAGGACCATTCTGGTTTGGCATCCATGAAAATATTCTTGTCTATGCCATGCAATAGCAGTTTAACCTCTGGAAGGAAGCAAATGACACTGGAAATTTCAGATAAGTTGATGTAGGAAATATGCTATCCATTTCAGGCCAACAAAAAGGAACACTTCCAGCAAGTACAATCTATGATGTACGAATTAATGGAGTGGAGGTCACAGCTCCTCTCAGGGACATTGCCAAAGGATGAGCTGAAAGAACTGAAACAAAAAGTTACATGCAAAATTGACTATGGAAATAAGTAAGTCCCTTGGTTCTGCTTTATCATTGCAAAGAAGTTTGGAAAAATCTTAATACCTGAGAAGTCTGGGCTGCTCTAACATGTATGCATGCTTTGTTATTGCTTTTAAGAATAAGCTAGTAAAACCATGGGCTGAAATCCAGTACTATTTTGCAATTAGAATAATCTCATTGAGTTAATGGGATTTGCAAAGGAATTAACTCACCAAACACCCACTAATTCAGTGGGTCTACTCCAGTTGTGACTTACTAATGGATTTCAAGCATAATAGATTGTCCCCCAAATATTGGGTGTCCTAGCAAAATGGCTACCTGATGCCCCATTTTTGTGTTATATTTATTACATGCAGGTACCCCTAAACAAATGTATGTATTTTAAGGTTTTAGGGAAGTGCTGAAGTGAGGAACAATCTCAATATGTCTTTCTGTCTCATTGTCAGGTAAAAAAGATGAATTAACTAGAATATTGCCAGCAAAATAATTTCTCTTCAAACTCTTGATATATCATAGTTGGTATCTAGTGAAGAGTATGTTTCAGTGCTGATGGCGATGATTGTAATCTCTGTTACACAAACCCTGAAATGTTCTAACAAGCCCACAGATAATCTCGGAATCCTGTTACACCAACCTTCCATGGAGGTTAACCCTCAGGCCTGAAGCAGCACATTCCCCCCCCAATCCATACTGCCTGAGGTAGATGACAGGATACTGCCTTCCTATCCAGTTGAACTGACAGTTAAATCTTTCTTCAACATTGGTAACAAGATAGGGTTCTCCTTACAATTCAAGGCAGCAAACAAACTTAAGGGGCTCAAGGCACATGATAGAAGAGGGAGCTGCAGCCTCAGATCCCAATATCTGCCACCTGAGGTAGCCACCTCACTCTGCCTCAGAGCTTGGGAAGTTAATTTTTGAAAGTAAATTTCCATACACCTTGTAACAAAGAACTATCCCCAGTATTGTGATACCATTACTATTGCCAAGGTTTTTTTTGTTGAGTGGCTTGATATTTTTGAAGAGGGAAGAAGCAAGAGGATTCGATAAGCAAATGCCATTTAGTTTTACTAAAATTGCTCTAAAATGCCCTTTAAAAGCAATGAGATATTAGTCCTTGTGCAATATAAACACTCCAACATGTCTGACAGTGGCTGAAATTTTCTTGTTAGGTGTAAGAAAATTCTTAACTTCCGGTCCATTTCCAACAGTCAAATAAAGAGTCCCCACTGTGACACTTGGGTGTGCGCGCACATACATCGAGCTAGCTCACATTATGTTCCGTTTGAGATACATATTGTTACAAAAAAGTAATTTGTTACAAGCAACTACAGAATTTACAATTCATTATTTCCAAGCTTTGCTCTCTTTAAAGCTCTGGTTGTAATGATCCCATGTTCTACATAGGGGGCTAATGCTAAGAGAAAGTATAGCTTACCTTGTCCATGCTGTTGTGAAATCTGAATTAGGAACTCCCCAGGTCAAGCTTTTATCCAGCACAAAGCAGTGGGAAAGAACCTGAGTGTCAGGCTGATCTCCTTCCACTCCCTTTTGGGGCTAGATGGTCATTTTTCCCCCTGGAACTTCAGAACTGAACGAAAGAGGTCCACTTTCTCTCTTCACTTCCTCCTCACTGAGGAGGTTCCTCAGGCAGGTTTTCCCAGGATGGTGGCTAGCATTTACCCAGTGTGGCTGTACCTTTGTTCCACTGAACCGAATCCCCATTATTATTTTTTTCCTGATGGCTGCAATATCCACCAGCTTCTAGAAGATCTCCAGAGACAGAAATGTTGCTACTCCACTGATCAGCTCCAGAGGGCCACAGGCCATGCTATTTGTCATTTCACCAACTCCAAAGGTTCACTAGAACTCATATTTATTGAAGTGGTCATCTGATACTGGTCACTGTAGTGGCTGAGAACATGAAGTGATTTCTAATTTAAAGCTGAATTCAGGCATCACCTCACTCAATTGATATAGCAGGTAAGAGATAGAAGGCTCTCTTCAGTAATGGGCTGCCTTAAGATAGAAATATTTAAAGACCACCACAAAACGGAATGTAAGTAGGTGATGGTCATAGATTACCAGCCTCTAAGAAAAGATTGACTCAACTGCTATTCCACAAGAGGGATAGGCCCCTAAGCAATAATCTATTGCTGCCCTGCGTACATGTAATTGCCATGATTATGAATAACCCTTTCTGTTTCTTTTTCTCTGAGGCAGGGAGGCTTACATGCCTGCACTTAGAAATTTCCAATTAAAATATCCTCAAACAAAATCTATAGCAACTTCAAAGATGATATTTTAAGGGGATAAGCACCTATAACTTTTGCATACTAAAAATGTCACAAGAATGCTGTGGTTAAAGGAGCCCTGAAAAAAAGCTGTAGTGGAAAAGAAATATTTCACATTGAAAGCCTACCTGTACAAGTAAGGGAATGAGGTGATGTGATTCTTCGGTGGTAAGAATGAACTATACCATGCAGAGTGGCAGATTTGTGTATGGGTATGGATGTGAGCCTTACTTTTTCACTGTTCCCTTATGTGTAGAGGAAATGAACAAAATTTCTATCTTGACAGCACAGCTGGGATATGACTTGGCTAGAATTGTTTTTCCTTTCATATGCCCGGGTCTTTTGTATTTTTACTTACAAGTTGAAAGAAATATATCAGGGAACATTACAGCTGTCTGGAGAGCTCTGTGAGTTAAGTATCTGCCTGTGGAGCTACAGGTTAGGAGTTCAATTCCCCTCTGTGCATCTCTGAAGAGAGAGCCTGTGTAGCCTTGGGCAAGCTGCAGAGACCCAGGGGTCCCCCATAAAAAGGGAATGGTAAACCACTTCTGAGTACTCTCTACCTAGATAACCCTGAAAAGAGGCAACATGAATCAGAACTGACTTGATGGCACACTATTATTATTATTATTATTATTATTATTATTATTATTATTATTATTATTATTATTATTATTATTATTATTATTATTATTATTATTATTATTATTATTATTATTATTATTATTATTATTATTATTATTATTATTATTATTATTATTATTATTATTATTATTATTATTATTATTATTATTATTATTATTATTATTATTATTATTATTATTATTATTATTATTATTATTATTATTATTAAATAATAATAATAATAATAAGCACATGTGTGTGAGAGAGAGGCAGAAAAAAAGTGCAGGAGAGACAGATATATGTCCAGTGGTAGCCAAATGAGGTGCTTGGGATAAGTTTGGGAATAGGAGCTTCAATATAGACACCTCAAATGCTCGGAGATTCCTAAGTTTAAAGTAATTATTATTACTTTTGATCAAGTCAGTTAGAAGTAGTGTACCATCCCTTCTTTTAGGGGGGCATCATGAGAATGTGCAGCCTGCCTAAGGTTACACAAAATGGCTCTACTCCTAGGAGGCACAGAGGGGAATTAAACTCACAACCCAAGCTAGATACCTAACTCACTGAGCAATCCAGCTAGTATGATTAAAAGCAATTATTAAATGCATATTAAAGAATAGCGTTTCTAATGGAAATTTGCGAAAAACAAACAAACACTCCCTCATGCTTTACTGGTTTTATTTATTTATTTATTTATTTATTTATTTATTTATTTATTTATTTACTTACTTACTTACTTAATTGATTAATTGATTAATTAATTAATTAATTAATTAATTAATTAATTAATTAATTAATTAATTAATACCCCACCCATCTAGACCGAAGTCTACTCTGGGTGGCTAAAAATAATAAATAGAATAAAAACATATAATAAAATAAAAACAACAACAGTAATAATATGTTCAAGATGGGAAAAATATTCAAGTGATGATGGGAGGGAAAGCCTGCCTAAAGAGAAGAACTTTGAACTTTGCTCTTAAAAACACCCACCAAGGGATCCAGACAGATCTCTGGAAGCAGACTATTCCAAAGGCAAGGGGGCAATGCCAAGAAGGCCTGGTTTCTTGTTCTTTCCCTCTGGGCCTCCCTCAGCATTAGGCCCCTCAGCCGCCCTTTGAGTGTTTAGGGCTGTTTAGGGCTTTGTATGTCACCATTAACACTTTGAAATCAACGCGGAAACGAATGGGCAGCCAATGCAAGGCAGCCAGAGTGCCTTGAAAATGTTGATATTTTCTCGTTCCACTGAGAATTCTGGCGGCTGTATTCTGCACCATTTGAAGCTTCCGCATCAATCTCAAAAGTAGCCCCACGTAGAGCGCATTACAGTAGTCTAATCTTGAGACTACAAGTGCATGAACCAGAGTGGTGAGTGCCCCAACATCAAGATAGGGACACAGCTGGGCAATCCGCCATAGATGGAAATAGGCAGAGCAGACCGCTGATGCCACCTGGGTTTCTATGGTGAGTGCCGGAGCCAGATGGACCCCCAAGCTGCAAAACTCACTCTGAGAGTCACTCCCCCAAAGGAGAAGGAGTTTCCCAAACCACCAATGACTGGGCCACCCACCCTCAGGACCTCCATCTTGTCTGGGTTCAGCCTCAGTCCATTCTCCTGCATCCACTGCAGTACAGCCTCCAGGCAGGGCTGAAGGAATAGAACGGCATCCACTGTGGTTGGAGAAAAGGAGATGTAAAAATGGGTGTCATCAGCATACTGATGGCATGAAGCCCCACACCCCCTGATGACCCACCCAGCGGCCTCGTGTAGATTTTAAACAGTATTGGGGAGATAATCGAGCCCTGCTGAACCCCAGGTGACATAAATGCCAGACAACATAAAATGTATAATGCAGGAGATGTGAAGGGTAAATGTATATGTGGAGAATAACCTCTTATGGTGCTTAAGCCACATCTTCTTTCTGTCTTCAGGATTCTTGAGCTAGACCTGATAGTAAGAGATGAAGATGGGAATATCTTGGATCCAGACAAGACTAGTGTCATCAGCCTCTTTTATGCTCATGCTGAAGCTACAAGCAAAATCACAGAACGCATTAAAGAAGAGACGGTACAGCATTTTGCACATGAGTCTTGTGGTTAAAGATAGACAATTCCTTTCTTAGCAAGGAAAGATTATTTAGACAGGACAGGAGACATCTACCCTTCTTTTTTACCTTTAGCCAATCAAGACTCTCCTACCAGACTGTGTGCATATTAGAATTTTTTTTTCCAGAAAGTATTTGCTATACTGTCAGGGTACTGTCAGGGTTTTTGTTTAAATTTGGCTATTTTCAGTAGTGACTGGTGAATGCTGGAGCTGGTGGGGCAGAAGAGAGGGTCATCAAAGTTGGAAATAGCTGCCTCTGATTTTCTCTCCCTTTTCCATGGTCTAAGTGCACTTTATATCCCCATGCCTGCTGGTTGGGAAGAGTGTTGAAGATTAGGCATCTGTGTGGTGGACCATCTGCCCATACATAGGATTATCTTGGATATATTTCCTCATTTCAAAATATGCATCTAATATAAATCAATGGAATGAAAGAAAAGAGATTTGTGACCAGTGACCAGAATTAAGCTGTCTAGAAGTTAGCATTGTATTGCTTCTCAATCACTGTATTACTGAAGCATATCTTGATAAGCAGCTTAAAGAGATGTCAGCAGCCATTACATATCCCAGTAGCAGTGTGTGGGTTATTCCTGTTATTGGAAGATGGTGGCTATGATGTACATGCCTTCCTGTTCTTTATGGAACAGTAGGAAATTGGCAACAATCCTTTAGCCTTTTTGAGGTACCAGACTTAATAGAGGTCATCAGTTTCATAGGTAGGTGGAAATAAGTGGCTGACTACTTTGAAACTTGATCCAACTTTTGAAACTAGTACTTAAATTGTCTGGAGACCTAGTGAATACAGAGTCTGAGAAAATGGTTTTATGTCATTAGTGAAAAAACGAAGACTGAGCATTATTTAAGAAATTAGCAGCACAATAAATGCTGCATTGATATAATGACAGCATGTCATTAACTATTGTATAAGCTTTGCATACGGTACAGAACATCTGTTCAGTGGAAAAAGCACAGTTTATTTTATGTATATAAATAGGCAGTGATGGGAAAGAGTTAACAGTTCAATTAAAAGTTTGTGAGCTCAGTATCTGTTTTCTTAACAACTCAGTAACAATCTGTTAACTCTTTTGTACTAACCTGCCCATCTCAGTAAACAAGTTTAACTTGAGAAGCATATGGATTTTTGGAATAGTCATAAAAGCTTCAATTTTTGCATCTCAGGAATTTGAACCCGAGGGTTAAATCTGAAAACAGAACTCTGCTTCAGCAGTATAATTAAATAGATCAAAAGGAGGAAACATGTCTGCCTAAGCAAATTACTTCCAGATTTAATCTGGATAACATTATGTCCCTCTTTTCTTTATGCACAGTCGAAGGAAGAAAGTGTTTATGGAACCTATTCCAGAAATAATACTTCTCCGACCCACAGCCTTTATGTCTTCGTAAGAAATTTTGTCTGCAGAATAGGAGAAGATGCAGAACTTTTCATGTCTCTTTATGATCCTCAGAAGCAACAAGTAATAAGGTAGGGTACCTTTTTTCAGCAGTGCAGGATGGCAGTCTCCTCACACAAGTGTGTAGGTTTTCTGGATCAGGATGTGGCTCATTACCATGAAAATGAAAATGCACATTTCACAGCTGAAGGAGACTGTAAGTTGGTGGATACTTCGCATTCCAACTTTGCACAGAAACTTCATAAAAATACCTTTCATGTAGGTATTTTTGTAATTTTGAGTGTTCAAGTAGGTGGTTTGGTACCCTAAGGGAGAGGACAGCCAAAGAATCAAAGAGATAATGAATATGCATATTTCATGATAGCATTGAAAGGGAAAGGAAAATAATATGGAAGAGTGTTGCTACAGTAGTGGCAGGGAGTGAGCTAATGTGGGTCACTTTGGAACAGTCAAGATTGATTAGAAGGATCTAATCAAGCCTAATCTTTCACATGGAAATCCCACCTGTCATTATCATGATGTGGTTTAATAAGAGAGCCACTTCAGGATACTGGCAAATTAATCACTTCCTCTGCTTGCGTAGGGCCAGGGGAAGGCTATCACTAATGTACTGCATCAGTTATAAAAAAAATTAAAATCTTTTATTTGCCTTCTCTCAAAAAGCTGGTCAAGAAATAGCCTGCAGCTGAAGCCACTGCAGTGGATTCGACTGTAGGATGTTTCTTTATTGGTCCTTTAAGATGAAGTAAAATAAAAGATTTTAATTTTATAATTTTTATAAATGTATATATTAAATAGTTGATGCAATGCATCAGCAATAGTCCATTATGCAGTCAAAACATGTCTTTCACTTCCTCTGTTCCTTTCCCAAGAAGCAGAGGAAGTGATTAATTTGTCAGTGTCCTGAAGTAGCTTGTTTATTTAGCCATTTCGTAATACTGGCAAATTCAAATCTGAAGGCTTGCTTTGGATCAGTTCCACACACACAGGAACCGATCCAAACCAGATGAATACTACCCACACTAAAAAAAGTAGAAGCTCTTGATAGGGGCTCTGAAGGTACAGATCACTCTGGGGGTGGGCTGGTCCACTCCAACAAAGTCTTCATTTTATTGCCGTCTTTATGAGCAGACCAGCCTATTTCTATAGAAGACAAACAGTGGGTTAAAAGCTTCTGTAGTCAGCCTCAGAGAATCTGTTCTGTCAATAGCAATTCTGTGTAAATAAATACTGGATTCAGTCACAGAAAATGCAAAATAAATAAATTCATTTGTCTACAGGAGTATATTTGCAGCCTGCAAGTGCTTTGGCAAAATAACACATGTTAGTCTATATAGTCTCAAAGACCTTTTGTTTTTTCAGTCACTGATTGATGTGTGACATTAAGTGATTAGAAGTACTTGGCCAGAATTATTTGTCACATACCAACAAAGTGCAAAAATAGACTGAGGTAGGCACAGGAATCTCTATAGTTTCTGTATATTACTCAGTCTACAAAACCACAGTTAGTGTTGCTCTTTACATGCAATAAAATAGGCTGAGCCCAGATATCCACCCACAGAAGGAGGTTGATCCCTCCACTTAATATTAGGGATCTCAAGCATTAGAGGAGCCTGCTCTGAGGTACTGCTTTATTTTTGTTTCAGTCTTAGGAATAGACAGCGTATGAGCCATTCACAGAATATGTCTGTGACTTGTTTTCTACACATTTTCTCTTTCATTTTGGGCCCTCCTGTGTCACAGCTCTTCTTTTCCAGAAACAGTAAGGTAGTGTAAAATTGTACATGCTCATAATGATAGTCCTCATAGTCTCATGACCTACAGGAGAGTCAAGAATGCAAGAATCTGGGTTGTTCTGTATCAGCAATTGAGCAACAGGCCTTCTGTAAAGTTAATGGCCTTCAATTGTCAATTCCAGACCAAACAGTCCTCAAATACTTTACATTACATCAAGGATAGCTTACAAAAATATAATGTTCCTCGAGAAATCTCTCACTTTCCTAACTACTGTGAGGACTGCGGTGAAGCTCGGAGGGAAAAGGGAAGTCTGAGAGACATGACACGTAATGTCGTATTTCTGGCTGTTTAGAAAGTCTTCCAGCTTCAACACTGCAAGCCATGGACCCATCATGCCACTCCTCATTAGGGTTCCCTGACTCTCAGAAAGCATTCTGAGGTTGCCCTGGCTCAGGCAGTGTTCTAGGAGAAACTCTCCTACCTCTTTCGCCAGGTGGTTATCTGGATTCAAACCAATGATTAGTACCAATCCTTTCTAGTCTGTTTTTTTAATGCTATATTTTACTCTTCAGATTATGATTGCCATTGATTAAAACATCACAAAACCAGGTATACACACACATTAAGGGATACATTTGCAGAGGCAGGATTGCGAGGTGCTCAAAGATTTATGCTGAGCAATGAATACCGTATGATACCTGCCAATTGCACGCCATCAGGCTGTTATATAACAACTTTACATAACATAATGTGTTCTTTTTTTAAACAGTGAAAATTACTTGGTGAGGTGGGGGAGCAAAGGTTTTGTCAAAGAAATTGACAATTTCAACAATCTGAAAGTGGTTTTTACTGTGAGTAGCCCTTCTCCTACTATTTTTTTTAACATATAACCCTGCCTGGAGAGGTCGGAGAATGTAATTGTTCAAAATGTGTTGCATCCAGTGTTTGCCATCTACTATCTTACTTCCAGGATATTCTGTGTTCTTGGTTGTCACATTTTTAGGAGATGAAAGCTTAGCTTAGTTGTGGTAAGACTTCCCCTGCATATCACATAAATCATTGTGGTGTTGGGCAGAAAGAACACTGCTTCCTGTATGCTGGGGTGAGAGGAAAAGTGTTGCCTTCCTCGTGTGGTTTGGCTGCAGTGGTCTCACTTTCCAGCATTGGCTGGGCCTCCTTCTGCTGACGCTGCAGTCCAGCAGTGCCTGGAGGGTCGTGAATTGGCCATCTGGTCACACAGATTGATCCAAGAGCAATCTCTGTTCAAATCAATGGATAGATGTATCGGACTCAATCTGTGAAACGGGTATGACTTAACAATTTTGAAAAAATACTCCTCAGCACACCATACAAGTGTCTTTAAAATAACAGGCCAGACTCCCATTGCTCCACTTGGCTCACCCAGTTAACCTTCAGGGCACATCCAAGAAATCCAAGAAGGTCTACAGTAGCTCCATGCACAAGCATAAGCCCTATTAAAACCATCAGAGACTGCAGAAAACTGTGGTCAGAGCTTGATACTGCTGCATCTACCCTGTAAGAGGATTCTGCCCAAAATTTCACAGAAGCCATATGCCGGCGGAACATTTGCTTGCAACTGAAAACATGGCCAAATTCTTGTTAATAGATACCGTATTACACTGCTGTGAATTCTGTTTGGCTTTAGCTCCCGTTGCATTTTTTCCATCTCTTTCAAGATCAAGAACGTCGTGGTATATTTGGTTTGCAAGTTGATGCAGTTGGTCTGAATGCATAACTTCCTGGAAAAAATCCTTCTCAGGACCCTGCATTAACTGACCCATGTGACGGGTTTTTTTGTATGCAGCAGAGGTTAATATGTTTATTACTCTTGTAGACAGATGGTATACTAAATAGAAAAGGTGATTGAAATCACGGAGGCATAAAGTTTCGAACTTAATCACTCAAGGGGACCAATAAATTATTGTTCATGTGTATAATCTCTAAGGGAAGCATGGGAGAACCTATTTCTGATCTCAATAAGATTAAGTGCCGGGGGCGGGGGTTAGAACTACATGCTTAATAAGCATACAGCTGTTTTGTTTATCACATTAAAAAAACCCAGAATGCATAGCTTGCTCACAGAGTTCAAAGATATTTGAGAACACACAAATTATTCCAGAAAACTTTCTCCCCCCCCCAGCCTCAACAACAACTATGTTTTTAAAAAAAACAACAACCCTGCATGGGTGACTTCTTGGACTCCCTCTAGTCCTTGTTTAAAGAAAAGAAGGAGGGAGAGGAAGAGAAAGTTCTGGAATGAAACCTTCCAGTACACATGAAAAAAATGGCCCCATGTTCAAAGCTCTTGCGCCAAAACCTCAAACTGGATTCTGAGGTAGAAGGAGTTTCAAAATGAGTTGGTAGGGAGATTCCAGCTGAGAGCAAAGTCTTTTTGGTTCCAACCAGCCAGCCAGCCTGCCTGCCCGCCTGCCCCCCTCTCTGTCTGTCTGTCTGTCTGTCTGTCTATCTATCTATCTATCTATCTATCTATCTATCTATCTATCTATCTATCTATCTATCTATCTATCTATCTATCTATCTATCTATCTATCTATCTATCTATCTATCTATCTATCTATCTATCTATCTATCTATCTATCTATCTATCTAATCTGCCTGCCTCCCTCTCTGCCTGCACACACACACACACACACACACACACATGTCTATGCATATGTAGGTTTATTGATACATGCACAGATTTTGAGAATGTAGCTTCTAAAATTTATGTTCAGAACTTTGAATGGGTGGTGTATGTTCTGAATTCCAATTTCCTGTTAATCAAATCCAGTTGTTACTAAATAAATGGATGGGATATTTTTAAATGGAAAGGTTGTTTTCTTCCCATTATGATTTTTTCTTCACCAGTAATATTTTTTCTGGGGGGGGGGAGAGGGGCAAATTTGGGATTTGTTGCTTGGCTCTATGGATCTGTTAACTGGCTCTTTCTTTCATGTCTCTCAGGATCTCGGAAACAAAGATCTTGGAAGAGACAAAATTTATTTAATTTGCCAAATTGTACGAGTTGGAAGGATGGATCTCAAAGACAGTAATACAAGGAAATGTACTCAGGGCATAAGGAGACCTTTTGGAGTGGCAGGTAAGAAATAAGAACTGGGCATGTCGCAGAGGGTCTTGTTTGGTTTTCCCTGTGCCCGTGGTGTCTTCCTAGGTAGCCCTTGCGTACCGTAGTTCCCTCCTTCTAAAAGGTAGGGGGATACTCCAGAGTGACATTATATTAAATGCAAGTGGGTCACAACCACCTGGGGAGATCTGCAATATTCCTTTCCCTTCCCTTCCAGGTTGGTTTTCTCCCCCCCTTGTGTGGGGAGGAGGTTGCTCTTTGTGCAAAGACCACTTGAGGGCATGGCCTCTGTAAAACACTGCCAATAAACATTCTGCAAACTTTATAAAGTTATAGCAATACATTCTCCCAGATAATGATGTAGGTTAAACCTTCTAAAATTGAAACAGTATTGAAGCAAATGTTGAATAAGTAGTTTTAAGTGCTCTTTATGTGGAGAGATTATAAGGGAAAGCAAGAGATGAAAGTGGATTCCCAACCAAAGGCCTTCTCATAAATTGGTTCAGAGCAATGCTGCTAAGTGAAGGTGTCCTTTGAAGATCTTCAGTGAGATGTCTGTTCAGAAGAGTCTATTATTGGGTGGGTTGTGGATGACAGGAATAGGTACGTAGTGCAAGAGTGAGAGGAAGAGACTTCATGGGTGATATAGATGGCATACAGGATAGAGTACGTATGTTTAGCAATCAATTCACCTGGGATTACCTTGTATAGGATATTAAATTAATTTCTTGTATGGTGAAGAAAAATTCTGACAATATAACACACACAAGCCAAATTTGCATGCTAATGTATTATTTAAGCTAGCACAACAAATAAGCTGTCTCAGCTTCCTTGAAGTCAGGTTAATTGCCATCTACCTAGGGCTCTGGTATTTATTGGCTGTTCTCTATTGTCCCATAATTAAATTAATGGATGATGCAGGAACCGGAGACAAATAATTGATATAATATTTTTTTTGTAAAATCTGCATAATTGAGAACATGCTGTGTTGTCATGGCACAGATCGGTCTTCCAGTCGCTGCTGTGCCCACCGCAGTGTACCAGCCGTGCTGAATGATACGTTTCATTAGATCTGAAAAACATTGTGGCGTCGCCTGTGCTGATAAACGTTTGTCTTAGACGCTTGGGGCAGGGGTGGGAAACGATGAGGAAGTGTTGGACTGCCCCTTCCATCATCCCTCATCATTGGTTGTGCTGGCTACATTTGATGGAAGTTCTAATCTGGCCACACAATCCCCATCCTTGCACAACAGAGTGAAACGCTCCTGTGAAGGGATATGTGTGAAAGTAATTAGATGTGAAGCTATTTAGAATAATTTGCACATCAATCTTGATAATAATATCACCTCTCTGTAGTCCAGTACTCTATAATGCATGAGGTACATGATCCTGAGAAGCAAAGGAATTCATTTTGTCTCTATTTCTTTCTTACATGTCTTGATGGATTTTTCCCCTAGTAATGGATATTACAGACATCATAAAAGGCAAAGCAGAAAGTGATGAGGAGAAGCAACATTTCATTCCTTTTCATCCGTAAGAAAATCTTTCTTAGAAAAAAATCTTACTTATATTGCTAACCTCCCAGGGGAGGGGAGGGGGAAATCGTCATCCATGGAAGTTTTGCGGCAAAAATATATCTGGAGGCAGGGATGGGGACTCAAACTGTGGGACTCGCTGATCAGTCAGACTTAAGTCACATGGGTTTTTTACCCCTTTTTCCACATCCTCAGAGCATCTTCCAGATACAAAAGGGCAGTTTCTCACCTAACATGTGACACACAGGGGAAAAAAAAAACACATCCAAATATATTCTTCCATTTGTAGTTTTTCCATTTGCACCAGAGAAGACATAGGAAGCCTTTGAGAATACATTAAAACATAGGAAGAATTGTGAAACCTGTTATAGCCCTGGAGGCTCACTTGTGCAAGCATTTGTGAAATAGCCAGAACGCCTATTTTTCTGAAGTCCCATCCTTCAGCACCACTGTGGTTTGAGTTTTAAATCTATACTGTGGGTAATGAATACCAACTTTTTCATTGGTTCGTGACTCTGATGTGATCTTCCAACCATCAAATTGGGAGTTACTTTAAATTTTACTGTATATATATATATTCTTACTGCCATCAGGAACATGCATGTGTGTGTGCGTAGTTGTGGCTGCCAACCTGCACGCACATGCACACACATACACACACACACACCCCTTGCCCCTTCCCACATGCCTGGATGCCTGCCCACCCCCACACATGCATGCACCCCCACCTGCTGCCTGCACACACACACACACACACACACATGTCTATGCATATGTAGGTTTATTGATACATGCACAGATTTTGAGAATGTAGCTTCTAAAATTTATGTTCAGAACTTTGAATGGGTGGTGTATGTTCTGAATTCCAATTTCCTGTTAATCAAATCCAGTTGTTACTAAATAAATGGATGGGATATTTTTAAATGGAAAGGTTGTTTTCTTCCCATTATGATTTTTTCTTCACCAGTAATATTTTTTCTGGGGGGGGGGAGAGGGGCAAATTTGGGATTTGTTGCTTGGCTCTATGGATCTGTTAACTGGCTCTTTCTTTCATGTCTCTCAGGATCTCGGAAACAAAGATCTTGGAAGAGACAAAATTTATTTAATTTGCCAAATTGTACGAGTTGGAAGGATGGATCTCAAAGACAGTAATACAAGGAAATGTACTCAGGGCATAAGGAGACCTTTTGGAGTGGCAGGTAAGAAATAAGAACTGGGCATGCCGCAGAGGGTCTTGTTTGGTTTTCCCTGTGCCCGTGGTGTCTTCCTAGGTAGCCCTTGCGTACCGTAGTTCCCTCCTTCTAAAAGGTAGGGGGATACTCCAGAGTGACATTATATTAAATGCAAGTGGGTCACAACCACCTGGGGAGATCTGCAATATTCCTTTCCCTTCCCTTCCAGGTTGGTTTTCTCCCCCCTTGTGTGGGGAGGAGGTTGCTCTTTGTGCAAAGACCACTTGAGGGCATGGCCTCTGTAAAACACTGCCAATAAACATTCTGCAAACTTTATAAAGTTATAGCAATACATTCTCCCAGATAATGATGTAGGTTAAACCTTCTAAAATTGAAACAGTATTGAAGCAAATGTTGAATAAGTAGTTTTAAGTGCTCTTTATGTGGAGAGATTATAAGGGAAAGCAAGAGATGAAAGTGGATTCCCAACCAAAGGCCTTCTCATAAATTGGTTCAGAGCAATGCTGCTAAGTGAAGGTGTCCTTTGAAGATCTTCAGTGAGATGTCTGTTCAGAAGAGTCTATTATTGGGTGGGTTGTGGATGACAGGAATAGGTATGTAGTGCAAGAGTGAGAGGAAGAGACTTCATGGGTGATATAGATGGCACACAGGATAGAGTACGTATGTTTAGCAATCAATTCACCTGGGATTACCTTGTATAGGATATTAAATTAATTTCTTGTATGGTGAAGAAAAATTCTGACAATATAACACACACAAGCCAAATTTGCATGCTAATGTATTATTTAAGCTAGCACAACAAATAAGCTGTCTCAGCTTCCTTGAAGTCAGGTTAATTGCCATCTACCTAGGGCTCTGGTATTTATTGGCTGTTCTCTATTGTCCCATAATTAAATTAATGGATGATGCAGGAACCGGAGACAAATAATTGATATAATATTTTTTTTGTAAAATCTGCATAATTGAGAACATGCTGTGTTGTCATGGCACAGATCGGTCTTCCAGTCACTGCTGTGCCCACCGCAGTGTACCAGCCGTGCTGAATGATACGTTTCATTAGATCTGAAAAACATTGTGGCGTCGCCTGTGCTGATAAACGTTTGTCTTAGACGCTTGGGGCAGGGGTGGGAAACGATGAGGAAGTGTTGGACTGCCCCTTCCATCATCCCTCATCATTGGTTGTGCTGGCTACATTTGATGGAAGTTCTAATCTGGCCACACAATCCCCATCCTTGCACAACAGAGTGAAACGCTCCTGTGAAGGGATATGTGTGAAAGTAATTAGATGTGAAGCTATTTAGAATAATTTGCACATCAATCTTGATAATAATATCACCTCTCTGTAGTCCAGTACTCTATAATGCATGAGGTACATGATCCTGAGAAGCAAAGGAATTCATTTTGTCTCTATTTCTTTCTTACATGTCTTGATGGATTTTTCCCCTAGTAATGGATATTACAGACATCATAAAAGGCAAAGCAGAAAGTGATGAGGAGAAGCAACATTTCATTCCTTTTCATCCGTAAGAAAATCTTTCTTAGAAAAAAATCTTACTTATATTGCTAACCTCCCAGGGGAGGGGAGGGGGAAATCGTCATCCATGGAAGTTTTGCGGCAAAAATATATCTGGAGGCAGGGATGGGGACTCAAACTGTGGGACTCGCTGATCAGTCAGACTTAAGTCACATGGGTTTTTTACCCCTTTTTCCACATCCTCAGAGCATCTTCCAGATACAAAAGGGCAGTTTCTCACCTAACATGTGACACACAGGGGAAAAAAAAAACACATCCAAATATATTCTTCCATTTGTAGTTTTTCCATTTGCACCAGAGAAGACATAGGAAGCCTTTGAGAATACATTAAAACATAGGAAGAATTGTGAAACCTGTTATAGCCCTGGAGGCTCACTTGTGCAAGCATTTGTGAAATAGCCAGAACGCCTATTTTTCTGAAGTCCCATCCTTCAGCACCACTGTGGTTTGAGTTTTAAATCTATACTGTGGGTAATGAATACCAACTTTTTCATTGGTTCGTGACTCTGATGTGATCTTCCAACCATCAAATTGGGAGTTACTTTAAATTTTACTGTATATATATATATTCTTACTGCCATTTCTTGATGTGTCTGACACTAAAAACTACATTGTTACATAGCTCAAGCTTTGGTGGTGGAAACTGGTGGTACATAATCCAATGCTTGCTTCAGTTTTGCTTTCTGGTCAGTTGGTGCATGTTTTGTTTTAACATCTTCAGTTGTCACAAATATATCTCTTCTCTCTTTTTTTTTAGAGTGTCGGAGAATGAATTTTTGCACACTCTCTTAAGCAGGGTCACAACAGTCAAAGGAGATAGTGGTGGACAAGGTGAAGTATAGTTTCTTTCTCTCTTTAGTACCCTAAATACAGACATGTTATTGATGGCCCATAGCACTGGATTGCAGGACAGCTGATGTCATGTTGAATGCATCATGTTGAGGCAACTGTTGTAAGAAATTGCCCTCTTTTTCAGGAAGGGATATGCACATGATTATAATATTCAGGATGGCATTCATACTTTTGTATGGACAGGGAGATGGTGGTACTTACACAGAGATGGGCTTTTGGACTACAGCTCCCAAAATCTCATGGTCCACATGACTGTGGCCCCGGTTAGCTCTGGAATTCTGGGAACTGTAGTCTGAGAAAGAAATGTTTGTCATCAATGCTGTTATGCGTGATGCTTCTGTCTATGAAGCCCGAGCTTGTTAATATCTCGTGTGGTTGTGGTCTTTTGTGGAAGTGAACTTCCATGTAAAAGCAAGATTTGAGAAGTGAGCTTTCTCAGCAAATACAAGACAATGTCAAATGAGTGTCCCCATCTGACCATCAACATTTCCTTTGTCTTTGGGTTTTAAAGGACTGTGGGTGACCATGAAAATGCTTGTTGGAGACATTAATCAGATTAGGAAAGACTACCCTCATCTTGTTGACAGAACAACAGTCGTTGCCAGGAAGCTTGGTTTCCCTGAAATAATTATGCCAGGTATGAGGTTGTTTTTCCTGCTTAGAAACTTAATGTAATTCTATTCCTTCTGATTTGCATATACAATCCATTCAGATACAAAAAAGAAACAATATGTGCACTAGGTTAGATCCATACATCCCTGATAATGGGCAAGGATAGTAGCCCTCTTAATCTGTTTAAGTGTCTCTCCCTGCCTTCTCTACCATGCTTTCTTGAGGGTCACATATCTGCTGAGTGGAGTGAACTGGGACACAGTAGGCTGAGGGGCAAAGGGTAGATAATAGAAAATCATGTGACGGTATCTTCTGTGATTGGAACAGAAAGTGCCTTGATCAGATTTCTTACATTCTCCCTCTATCTCCTCAGTGGTTTGGTCCATGACCCACTAGGCTCAGCAGGGTTAATATTTCTCAGACTTTCTCAGCATTTGAAAGGAGGCTGTCTGAGAAAGGAAGGGTAGGGAATCGTGCTTCTATTTACTCCTTTCTGGGACTGGATGTTTGACTTCATCCCCTTGTTGTATGGAGGTTCATTTCCAACTCTAAGTGTCTTTTGAAGATGCTGAAAAGGAATGCTTCATTTTCTGAATAAAAGGAAAAGAAATTTCAGTTAAATAAAACTATGTGCATATGTTTTAATATACTCAAGGCCCTGAAAAACTATGTTTTCAACTGCAACTACTGGCTCTCTTTTTTGCCATTTCTGTTAAGAAAAATCAGTCAAATTTATCCTAATACTGTGTACATTTGTGAAAACACACATCCGTGTAAATTGATGAGGTCCAGAATGAATAATGTTAAAACAAAATTTCATGCTATCTATGCCTTAGCCAATATTTAGTTGGGTAACTTCTGTCTTTGCAAAGGGAGTGATATCACTCAAGTTGTTCCATGACCAGTTCTGACTGTTGCTTCCTGTCCCACATATAGGTTTCTCAGGAGATGGATAAGGTGGTCAGGCACTCCCATTTCTTTAAGAACTTGCCATAGTTTGCTGTGGTCCACACAGTCAAAGGCTTTCGCATAGTCGATGAAGCAGAAGTAGATATTTTTCTGGAACTCTCTGGCTTTCTCCATAATCCAGCGCAAGTTAGCAATTTGGTCTCGAGTTCCTCTGCCTCTTCGGAATCCAGCTTGTACTTCTGGGAGTTCTCGGTCCACATACTGCTGAAGCCTACCTTGTAGGATTTTGAGCATAACCTTGCTAGCGTGTGAAATGAGTGCAATTGTACGGTAGTTGGAGCATTCTTTGGCACTGCCTTTCTTTGGGATTGGGATGTAGACTGATCTTTTCCAATCCTCTGGCCACTGTTGAGTTTTCCAAACTTGCTGGCATATTGAATGTAGCACCTTAACAGCATCATCTTTCAAGATTTTAAATAGTTCAACTGGAATGCCATCACCTCGACTGGCCTTGTTGTTAGCCAGGCTTTCTAAGGCCCACTTGACTTCGCTCTCCAGGATGTCTGGCTCAAGGTCAGCAACTACATTGTCTGGGTTGTCCGGGATATCCAAATCTTTCTGATATAATTCCTCTGTGTATTCTTGCCACCTCTTCTTGACGTCTTCTGCTTCTGTTAGGTCCCTCCCATTTTTGTCTTTTATCATGTTCATCTTTGCGCAAACTGTTCCTCTAATATGTCCAATTTTCCTGAACAGATCTCTGGTCTTTCCTTTTCTGTTATCTTCCTCTATTTCTTTGCATTGTTCATTTAAGAAGGCCCTCTTGTCTCTCCTTGCTATTCTTTGGAAGTCTGAATTCAAGTTTCTGTAACTTTCCCTATCTCCCTTGCATTTTGCTTCCCTTCTCCTCTCTGCTATTTCTAAGGCCTCGTTGGACAGCCACTTTGCTTTCTTGCATTTCCTTTTCTTTGGGATGGTTTTCGTTGCTGCCTCCTGGACAATGTTACGAGCCTCTATCCAAAGTTCTTCAGGCACTCTGTCCACCAAATCTAGTTCCTTAAATCTGCAGATTGCTGTTCATTAAATAATTCCTTTTTTATCTTCCTGCTCCTATGACTCACACACAATTACATGAAGTTGTGTGCACCTTGAAAGTGAAAAAGGACATTTATAGTTAATGGGAATGTGCCACTGCTGATGACATCACCCCCATTGGAAAAACTTCTTAACTGTTAGAGCAGTATGACAATGGAACCAGTTATCTCATGAGGTTGTGAGCACTCCAAGGCTGGAGGCATTCAAGAGATAATTGGACAATCACCTGTCAGCTCTGCTTTGACTTGGATTCCTGCACTGAGCAGGGGGTTGGACTTGATAACTCAAATCATTTGATGATTCTATGATTGCATAGGTTTAACTACACAACAGGATAATGACCATCGTACAGTGTGGTTTTTCATTACATCCACTGTGTGATCCCCAACTTTATTAACCTCCATATAAAACCCCCAGATTCTTAATTATTACATGTTGATGGATTTATAATCTCTAAAGAACTAGTTCTGAGTCATGACATTTCCAATGCAAGTGTTAATTCTTACGAAATCATTTCTAATTTTCTGCTTCAGAATGCAGTGCATCTAACACTGATAATGCTTTCTGGCAGTTTAGAGGTATTCAAAATGACACATAATTTATTTATTTTTTGGTAGGCGATCAAGGGCACTCATTTGTGGGTCTGCAAATAAGAAGGCTAAGATCCAAACTGTCATATGCGAAAATGTCAATAGGCATGTTAATAGTGAGTGTTGTTTTTTATGGGTGAAGAATGCCTTCTTCAGCTTGATCACCTTTTCTCCATTCTGCAGAAGGGGGATTTTGTAATTATTTGTTGATGTGAGGCTTTGCCATGAATGTACTGACGACCTTATTGTGGTCCACAGACTCTCAGCAGTTAAGGGCTCAATTTCTTTGATTGAAGACTCCAGAGTAAGAGTAAGGGACATCTCTGAGGCGTCCTGATTCAGTTGGGATTGAACTCAAGTCATGAGCAGAGGCTTGACTGCGGTACTGCAGTTTAACCACTGTGCCACGAGGCTCTTATTTAAAATTCATGTCATCAGAGTACAGGCAATATACCCTGTCCTCACTCTGACTTCTGCTTCTGGGAAGTGGTAGCCAGCGGGGCTCACAAACCAGGCAGTGGGAAAATGAGCTGTGGTAGGCTTTTTAAAAAGCCCTATTTTAAAATTTCTTAAAAAAAAAAAAAGAACAGCAGTCATCTAACCAGCGAAGAATAAGTGGTTCTCCCTCATGTTCCCGAAGTAGTTTGCTATGCAGTAACGAGTGCGGGTGCTACTTATAAAAAAGGTGGTCTTGAGCACATGGTACCGTAGGTATGATGAAACGGCCCCATTATGAGGCAGTGGATGTTGTCAGGAGGGACAAAATTCAACTGCTCCTCCTCCTCATTCTCAATTTGCTATGGACTTTTGCTTAGTGTGATGTGAGCGCCAGTTGACCATCCTGCACAAAATCCTGCATGCCAAGTCCTCCTTGCTGAAGTGCGTTAACTATGCGTCACCAGAAGGTGTCATTGCAGGATGAGAATTACCTATCAATGTAGAAATGGGATTAAGCCCTTTCCTGACAAGAGGAGATAAAGGTGGGCAATAAACATCAAAGATGAGTTTCATTTTCCCCTTGAATTTTCACATTTCAGCATATCACTGAGTATGCAAGCCATGTTCTGTGAGGTTAGCTTCTTGCAATCTGTATTTTTTTTAAAAAAAATCCTGGTATCTAACCTTTTGCACTTCTTTCACAGGTGATATCAGAAATGACATCTACATCACTCTGATGTATGGGGACTTGGATAAATTTAATAAAACTACTCAGAGAAATATAGAAGTCAATGTGTGCGTCTGTGATGAAGAAGGGAAAGTGATCCCAGTAAGTGTTGCTCTGTCACCTGCAACCTAAAGACGGACAAATTCAGTTCAACATATTCTGTTTCTGAACAACCAACGAAATTCTTCATGTCCCTCTTCTTCAATTCAAATCTATTTGCTTTGCTCTGTTGGCATTTGTACAAAGTGGAATAATACCTGACCTGGAATCTTTGCCCACATTAAGCTGCACCCATAGGCTTCTATTTATTTGTAAATCCTCTTGTCCCAATCAAGACATAAATTCTGAATGACCTCCTTAGACTTAATATGTAGCGGTGAGAGGAAAGAAATTATGCAGATATAAGTAGGCTGGTCTGGTCTAAATCAATAGCCATAAATCTTCACTACTGGACTTTTAGAAACAAGGACTCCGAGCATCTTGGTGTAATTTTAAGCACATGAACCCTGTTTTTATAATTTCATTTTTAATATATATTCACATCCAATATTTAAATGTTACAGGCAAAGTAGTTAATGGAATGTTTTTGATAATTTCAGGGAGTCAAGCATAGAGCATCAAACAGCCTCTGCTGTTTGGATTATCTGGTGACCCCAATAACTCTCCTTAAGAGCAAAATGCTAGCTAGACTGTGCAAAACACAACTTTGCAATGATTTTAGCATATTGGCCCAGACTTCTTGTTATTAATGATTACATCTTCTGTTGCAGATTCTTACAGGCAAAAGCCATACATGGCTTGATTAGTTGATTCTTTCAAGTTCCATATAGTGCAAACTGAACAAGTTGAGCTCACAGCTAATAATTAAGCAGCAGGGAACAACCTAGGACTTCCTTTTTTCGATAGATAGATAGATAGATAGATAGATAGATAGATAGATAGATAGATAGATAGATAGATAGATAGATAGATAGATAGACAGACAGACAGACAGACAGACAGACAGACAGACAGAAAGAGAAAGAGAAAGAGAAAGAGAAAGAGAAAGATAAGACTGTGGAATGTTGCAGGACAAATTATTGCTGTGTTACTATTAATGCATTGAATAAATCATTACAAATAATGTGCTAAATCAAATTGCTGGTCCTAATCAAAGTAGACCCATTGACTAAATTTTACTTGTTAAGTCAACAATAACTTAAGTACAAGTGAATCTGCCATAGCAGATGCTAACAATTGAATTTAGCTCAATGATTTCCTCATATTTATCTCCTTTTTCCTATAATCAGATTTATAGCTAAGTTACATTGTGACTATAACTTAATGAAGGACAGCTTTCGCTTCATTTGCAGTCCATGTTACTTTTAATATTACAGGAGTGTGGTACATGCTGTACCTCATGCATTCAGATTCCTTTATATCTAGATACCTATATATGAGCTTATATGTTAAATAACTAAAGATATCTAATTTGTTTACTTTTGAAGAACAGAGTAAATAGTTACATATACAAAACTACAGTTGTAACTTGCTTCCACTTACCGTTAGAAGTACAACTAACAGCTTCTATAACCAACTTTGTAAGTTCAGGTTACAAGCAATAAGGATAGTAGAGAGAGCAAGTTTAGAATTATGAAACATAGGTTGTTGGCATATGATGCTACTCTTTATTTTCACTGAGGTTATTTGCTTCCCATAAATAAACTGATGGCTAGAAAGTGCATTTCCACCATGTGGATGGCTACAAACTGAAATACTTAACAACTTTAGCAACACATATTTTTTTCCTGCAATTTCTGAATGTGGGCAGTACTAAAAAGAGAGTTACTGTAGTTCCTCCTTGCATGTTGATATAATATGTTTGATATGTTTGAATTAATGCAGAGAGCTATAATGTTCCACAGTAATTCCACACAAGAGAGATTTGAGGAATCAAGGCTAAGCTTCCTCTGGTTCCTGGCTGGGCGTAATTAACAAACCTTGACAAACAGAATGGAAATTGAAACCAAATTAAAGCAGCTGATTTGCCCTTAAGGGGTTACAATAAAATTATCAAATGGTGTAGTTAGGAGCACCAACAAATTCCTGAATGGCAACAGCAGATACTTTTGTTATAACAGTTTTACATATGATTCATAACACTTTGCATATGGCTTTAATTGGCTTTTTGTGCCATTTGTTTTTGCAAACTGAGGAGTGCTATATTTGAAAACAGTAAGTTTACTCAGCTTGATAGTGTGGTTGATGAAGCTGGCTAATTTGGGAAAGATTTGCTAAAAGATTAGTGAAGATTTGTGGCACCAAGTTCCTCTCTTGGCCTAATTTGAAGCTGAAATTAGTGGAAGGGGGAAGAGAATTGTATTGAAGGAACATTGATTTCTTTTAATGCTCTGTTATTCTAAAAATAATGCAAACAAACAACAGCTCAATAAACATTTTAGCATGTATTGTAGAGTTAATCAGAATTGACTATACACAGATGCTGCTGACCTGTTCAATTTCTTACTTTGAAAACTATATACAGTAAAAAAGGGTGGGGTGGGGATTAGAAATTGCAACCCAGTCTCTTTTTTTCAGGAAAAAGACTGAAAATGGCTGCCAGGTACATTTTGTTACATATCCCAGCAATCACTGGAGAGACAAAGTATATGTTAGTTGAAAAGGGAAGATAGAAGGGAGTAGAAAGAATAAGGGAAAGTCTGTGTGGTCCCCAGCAACACATATCCCCAACCTTGGTCCTCCAGATGTTATTGGACTACAACTCCCAGAAGCCTTCACCACCACCTCTGCTGGCCAGGATTTCTGGGAGTTGAAGTCCAAGAACATCTGGAGGCCTAAGGTTGGGGACCACTGCCCAAGATTATACCAGTGTAGGAGTGGGTGATGCCTTTTATTGGAATACTAGAAAAAAAATCAATTGATAGCAAGCTTTCATGGAGGAATCCCAGGTCTTCAGGCCAAGCACCACTACCTCATGGATAGTGCGGAAAAATTATAGTAAAGAATCAAAAAATTGATGGTCTGTGAGAGGTCAGCTCAGACTCCGGGTCCAAAAGTCCTCAGGCAGTTTGCAGTCTCAAGCACCATTTCTTGCAGCACAACTGGAATTTTTACACCCCACTCTTTTTGGCGAACCAAAAAGTTCGCCAATTACTCTGTGATTGCCCCCCTCACACACTCACATTGCCTGCTTCCGTGGGGAGATGGAAAAAGGAACTCAACATTCTTACATAAGTGGAACATTTAAAATGGACACACCAAACAAAACATTAAAGAGAAGTAACAACAGAATTATTTTTATAGGAGCTGTTGTGAGAGGAAGAAGCAACAGGAACTAGCTAGCAATGATTTGAGGTGGTGAGCTTTCCTTCATTAAAAGTGTTACTGTTTCTTTTAGAGTAAGTGTAGGCAATTGTGTTCTTCTAGACGTTTCTGGCCTATAAATGTCTGTCAACTTTATCCAGGTTAGCTGTTCCTGGTGGTTGCACCGCAAAAATATCTGGAGAGCTGCCGTTTCCATGCTGGGTTAGAGAAACAGGAGCAGAACCTTTTCTCAAATGAACATTTCTAATTTTGACCATGTCATTGAGCAGCAGTCCTCTTGGAACTATTTTCAGTAGCTTGGATATGCAGTGTATATACGTATATCTGCATATAGCATTATGTAGCAGACTGGACAGCTCAGTGAATTGGATACCTGGCTGCAGAGCCAGAAGTTCAATTCTCCACTGTGTCTCCTAGGAGAAGAGCCAGCCTGTGTAGCCTTGGGCAAGTCACACAGAGTGCCTCCAGAAGAAGGGGATGGTAAACCACATCATGCCTATTCCAAGTTAGTCTGTTCCAACTCCAAATAGCCCTTACTATCAAGTATCAGTTTTACCTCAGAGAGAGTATCCGTTTTTCTCCATCTCTGCTAGTAAAGGACTCCCAATCATGCAGGGAATTTTGCTTCTCATTTTCCCCAGTTTGAGACTGTATGTTTATCCTCTTTGGGTTGGTAACAGAAACAGAAAGTATAGCTGTCACTTTTTAAAAGTATATTTGTAACACTTTTCTGTTAATGAAAAAGGAGTCTACATGAGAACTAACAGGCTGCATCCCCTCCTCCTGCTCCCTCCCTCCCACCCTGTTTTGTGGAAGAATGCAATTTGTTTAGGAGCTGGGGACAAGCCTGTGAGTGAATACAAATCAGTTGTCTACTACCAAGTCAAACAACCCCGTTGGATGGAGACATTAAAGGTAGGGCAAAGAAAGAAAGGCCTTCTCTCTGCTTAGCATCTTTTCTTATGGGGATCCTTGGACACTGCTGCCCATGCTACCTCAGCTGAAAATACAGCTTAAAGAAAGGCATTTATAAGGAATGCCTTGTAAGGTTTTGTTGCCTCGACATAATAGGAGCAATTTTTCATTTGAAAAAATTAAGTTGCCTTGTGCCTACAAGGAAGTTTGAGTAGAAATTGAAACTACTATAATAAAGTTCAAGGTTTTCCTTTTATTTTCTGACGTGATTCATTGTAATATCATAATTATTTTTCAAAAAAAAAACTGTATGTAAGTGTACAGTTAAGTATTGTGAAGAAATAAAGAAAATGGATAATTTATTCCCTGCCCTCCACAAACCCTTGGGCAATTTATTTCTGTCAGGTTTGTCCTTGTTAGAGAAGAATTAACACAGTCATCCTTTTAGTTTGCATGTAACTTGCAATAAGCAAATTCTTGGAAGGTAGTGATAGAAATAATTACAAAATGGCTGCAAGCTATTAGAAAAGCTTATTGTAAATCTGTTCTTCTTAAAAGAGAGAGCGTTATGGAAAATTGCTGTCATAATATGGCTCTTAGGTAGATAATGAGTTTAATTCCATTAAGGTGTTTTGCCAAGAGTAGACAGAGAGAAAAGGCATAATAAAAAGTATGCTTGGGTACAAGAACAGATCTATTTTCCTGTGACTTCAAACACTTCTGTGTTAGTAATGACCATTTTGTCAATGGTGTCAAAATAGAAATCCAGGTTAAACTTATAAGGAAATATTTGGGCCATTAATCAGTCTTTAAATGAATAAATCCAATGCCTATTCCTATTTTGATCAGCAGTGCCAAATTGAACACGATATGATGCATTTGTATTCATGGCCCTTGCTCCTCTGCGTCATCGCAGACGCTGTCCCCTGAGGATAAAGAAGTCTGCTCTTCTCCTTGAGATGTAGAGAGAGCTAAAACTGAGGATAAAACAACTGACTTGATGTATTCCTTGCTATTGACTAGGAATGAATAAAACAATCTGTATCTGATCTTCAAATACAAAGGAGAGATGCAGGATTTTGGGAAAAGATGGGTTTATTATAGTTAAAAACCACCCCATGATTCTCTGCCAAACCAGTCAGTGGCCTTCCTCATGGACAATAATTTAGCAAAGCATCACAAAAGCCTCTTTTAGTTTGATTCCCACCTCCACTAAACTACTGATGATTACAGTAAACCCCTTTCCCCAGTGGGCTGATGCCATCTAAGTAAGATTGCTTGAGGGTAAGTGGAGGAACAATATGGCATTTGGTGCAATCCTTGCATCCAAATGGCATACAGACCTCAGCTGACCCTATTTAATCTGGCGTAGGTGACTGGGGGGAAGGCCTGTCTGAATCTGGCTTCTTCTGCTGTGAATTTCTGATATTGTGGAATGGCTTAATAAATGACCCACTTCAGGATATCAGCAAGTTGGACATTTCCCCTGCTCTTCGGCGGAGGGGCAGGGAAAGTGAAATTATTGTTATATATCAGCAAATTGAACACTTCCCCTGCTCTTTGGCAGAGGGGCAGGGAAAGTGAAATTATTGTTAAGTTTTACTCTGACCATGGTTTTGGCTGTGGGCAGTATCTTGACAGTTATTTCAGAAAAGGCAAAGAATTGTTTTTAATGTAATGACTGCTAGACCATCACATCAGCGATGGTCTAACAGAATAAAATAATAAAAATTTCCCTTCTGCCAAGGAACAGGGAAGGTGTTCAGTTTGCCGATATCCTGAAGTGGCTCGATTATTAAGCCTCTTCACGATATTGGAACTTGACAGTGCAAACAGCCTTACATTTTGCTTCTTGGTCTATTCCCAGGAATTGCACACACTGGAAACAGACCAAACTAGAGCCATCCTACCGGCACCAAAAATGGAGAAGCCCCTAACAAAGGCTCAGAAATGTGTGTGTAAGTGAGCTCCAGGGCTAGGTTGGTTTGCTCTAGCGTTTAAGTCATCTGTGCCAACCTAATCACTGGGAAATGGAGTGAAATGGAGAACATCAAACAGTGGAACAAATGCCCATGTGATCAAGCCCTTAATCTTTCCTTTCCATTTGATTTAGTGGCTGTTATCTCTGTGCCACAATGAGTAAGCAGAGTAGGACTTTCTGCAACAATAGGTATTCATGGGGTGCTAAAGAGGAAAAAAAAAGCTTTCAAAGCTTATATCCTGGCATTTGGTGGTAGTACTAAGGAATTTCTTTTGGAAAATAATAAAATACAGACCCTGAAATTATACAATAGAATATCACATTAGGTTTTGATCTACAGAGGCCAACAACAATGTGAGTTGGAGGTCTCTAGCCATGGACTGTTCACAGTTGGGCTAAGAACTACAGGCAGACCTTCATTTATTCATCATGTTCTTTTACTTTGGTGGCTGTTTATGTCCAGTGCTGTTTCTTTATCTAGGTAGCATTGCCCATTGAGGACATGCAAAGAATTCACCTGCGCTTTGCATTTAGACATCGGTCATCACAGGAAGGTAAGTTACCTGCTTCATTCTTTGCTTCCATGGTTCAAAATCAGGCAAGTTGAATTGTTTTACAGCAAGTCAGTAACACCAAAGTATGTCTTGTGCAGCTAAAGACAAAGGTGAAAAGAACTTTGCAATGGCCTATGTGAAGTTAATGAAGGAGGATGGGACAACTCTACAAGATGGCTTTCATGAGCTGGCAGTTCTAAAGGTAAACTTATCTAACATACACATTTATTTTTGATCTTTATTGTACTGGGCACCATTTAACAGCACCCCCTACTGTTATAACAAATATTACATACCATTTCTTAGTGCGGTCATCAGTTAATTTCCTCTGGATGTAGCCCGTAGCAATTAAATATTATGATATTCATATTTAACTTGCATGACTGGACCCAAACATTCTGTTGCCTGAATCATGGGACACCTAGAAGCTGACTGGAGTGGTAGTTGTGACAGAATAGCACATTCCACTGCCTCTAAAGGGAGCAAGCTAGCTAACAGGATGCATAGCAGTCCGTGTGGCACATACCAGACAGCTCCATGATTTTCAAAGCCCAGAATATGCTGCGGGAGGCATCTGCCTCACTCTGCCCAATGGTAGGGCCACTCCTGATAGTGTGGTTCCTCTAAAGCTCAAGGTGGCCTGCTGTTAGAGATACTCACTTTGTTATATGGACATTCCAGCAAGGAATTGTGAAGTCCCAGGTGATTTTTCAGTTCCAAGTAAGAGTGAGACCAGAGGCCCTTAATTTGTGAAAATTAGGTCTGCACAAATGCAGTATCCTTTCCTTTTGAGAAGCAAAGCATATAATCATGCACACTCACATACATGCCACAAAATAAGAAGTTGGCTTTAAAAAGGTATAGACAGCTCAGTGCTTCTAATTTTTACTATCGTTTTGTACCATTTGCATTCTTTTCATTAAAGGTAGTGGGAGGGTTGCACAAATTTGTTCAATTTATGCTAATAATGGTACTTCTTTTCTTATCTTGCCAAGAGCACCTTCAAATAAGTATATTCTCAAGGTGAGAACAATAATTGTGTGTCCCTTGTCCTTGTTTGTGCAAGAATGAGACAAGTGAGGATTTACTTCCCTATGGGGGTTTAGCATGTCGAAATAGCATTACTTGCTCTAGCTATAGACATTTCTAAATGTTGTAAGTCAGTAGAGTGGGCAACTTTGCTAGTGCCTGTCAAGACTTAATGGCTCATGGGAGCAGAACAAACAACAAAAGAAATAAGAAAATCAAGGAGCATCTGTTGCCGATGCTGCCAGTCCTAGCGGGCTGAAGCTAAACATGGGTTCTATATTGGGAAAAGGGAGACACACAAAAATATGTGTGAGGTCAGTTTTCACAACTGCTGCTGTCACGTGGCCAAGATGCTCTATCCCCTCCTTTTTTGTTGTTCTGAATTTCTCTTTTCTTCTCTTTTTCCTACTTTTCTTTTTCTTTTTCTTTTTCTTTTTTCTTTTGGCTATCCTTATTTGAGCAATCCAGGAAACACACATAGGGCACCTTGCACGGACATTTATTTCCTTTTGGTTTTTTTTTTCATTTAGAAGATATTTATGTTGTTTTTCTACTGCAAAATAAGATCAAATGAAGGTTGCAAAATGCAGCATAAAATGGCAGTGGAAACACAGAATGCCTATTGTTTAAAAGAGCACAGCAGTCTAAGTGGTCTAAAATAACATAACCAGAGGAGGCAGGCAATGAGAACTGCATGCATTACCTTGGGTAAGGGGAAAAAACCACCGTATATTGGTTTGTCACTAGGAATGGTAGAAACCTGGATACCAGCCAGATCTGTGGGGGAAACAGTTCCATACCTCCGGCTCTTAATTTGTCATTGCAGCCCAACCGAGCACCTTCCATATCTCTTTGTGGACACTGGTGATGAGCACCTGCACTTCCAAATTTACTGCTACACCCCTGTTCATCATAATGTGAAACAGTGTGTTGTTGCTGGCCTTGGCTTGATATTGTAGTAGATCATGAGCTGCATGGTTCAGACATATACATTCTGTGAAAATACTGTTGCAAGCAAACACACATCTATGTGCTAGCACAGATTTCTGGCTTTCCTGCAGATTTCAAAGCCCAGGGACGCTTATATGGGGGAAATATGCTCTCTTTAGGAGAGGCTGGACCAATGTTGGACTTTATATGTCATACCAGTGTTCAAGTGAACTCAGTGGAAAATTCCCGTGTAGACTGTCACACTCAATATGCGAAGACTTTTTCAGGGTGGGGCTTACAAGTGCCCACTAGATTCTCATCAGCCTTTTAGCTCTCCATGAGTTTTGAACAAAGCTCAGTTCTCATTACTGACCATTGGAAGTGCATTATGGGGAAGAGCTGTATTCAGGAGGGGGGAAAACCTTGGGAATTTGTCTGTAGTTTTCTCTGGGTCATAATCCCAAATGTTAAAGTAATAATTTAAAAATGTTTATTTTTAAAATTATGCCAATGTGGGGGAAAAAAGCAAAGCAAAACTATTTATTTATTTATTTATTTATTTATTTATTTATTTATTTATTTATTTATTTATTTATTTATTCATTCATTCATTCATTCATTCATTCATTCATTCATTCATTTATTCATTTATTCATTTATTCATTTATTCATTGCATTTATATGCTGCCCATCTAGACATAGTCTACTACAGCAGTTTTTCTAACTCATTCCAGTGATTCTTACCCATGCCTTGTTTTTAAGGGTGATAATAAGAAAATGGAAGATGCCAGTGCTTACTTGAGCCTCCCTTCTTCCCGCCTCCACATAGAATCGAAAGGCTCAACCTTAAGTCGCAGTTCAAGCAGTGTAGGAGGGCTCTCCGTAAGCTCAAGGGATTCCTTTGCCATTTCAACTCTTGTTTGTTCAACCAAGCTCACTCAAAACGGTAAGAGTATAAGCTTCTGACAAGGATTTCCATGTTGCACTTGAAAAGTAATCTCTTTCTGTGCCCTGAATATATCGGTGCTCTTCTCTGCAGTGGGCTTGCTGGGGCTTTTGAAGTGGCGGATGAAGCCAGAACTCTTGCAGGAAAACTTAGAAAAACTGAAGATTGTGGATGGGGAAGAAATTGTGAAGGTATGTTCTGCTCAGTTATGCTTTTAAAGACACTGCAGTGGTGTAGTGGATGGTATGGGGGGGGGGAATCTAAAGTGTGCAACAGTTTGAAGAGCCAGAAGACTTTCTCCACCAACCATGATTTCCAGTGTTCTCCCTGCTGGGTTGGAGGTGATTTCTGTGGTTGTTTTTAGAATGGGCCTAACATATCAGTCCATCATAAGAATTTATATGGCCCTTTTTAATGTGAGGGATTGGAAATACTGATACATAAGCTGTCTGTCCAGCCTTAAGTACATACATCGGACTAAGAATATCAGTGCTTACTATGAAACATTGAGCAGTCTATTAGTTCTATAGATAAATCAAGGAGCCCAGTGTTGCAATTCAAAGTCATTCCATAATCTATATGAGAAATCTTAAAACAACTTTGTTAAAATGATTTTTATTTCGATTACTTCTACTCCAGTAGCTAAAGTTTCTGTTATTGGGCTGGACTGCTCCTTGAAAACTATGCAAGAGACAGTCTAAGATGGCCAATGGAGTGTGGACAAAGACTGCACTTCTCCGTCTCCAATAATGCAGGCTTGTTTTCTTTTTCTAAAGTATGCCTCCTATCCCTTGTGGATTAGGCAGGCTGTGCCCCTGTTATGTTACGATCACCAAGAACTTCCTGTGTTTCCCCATGGACGTATCTCATTCATCTCATTCACTCACTCCTTGCTCTCCACATCTGCCCAGTGCTTCTACAGTCATGTGATAAAGTTGCTTTCCCAAGCTGGTTTGCAAGCAAACAGCTGATCCTTTTGTGTATCAGCCTGGACATGTAACTGTCGCTCTGCCACCAACTGGTTGTTCAGCCCAACTAAGCATTACAGGAAGATAACCCTCGTGCAGTTGCAGTTGATAGCTGTAGGGAGAAGAGATGTTTGCTGCATCTGGTTCCAGTTATGATGGTCAAGTGCCCGGATTCTGCTTTCCTCTGTTTGTAGCCATCCTTTGAAACAGAGATTACAGACCTACAGGCATATTCAAAAGTGTGGAAAAATATAGCACTATCCACAAAATCATGATGAGGCCAACATGTTACATGTCAAGACAATATGGCAGTGCCAGCCTTAACCTCTAGAGATCCTTCAAGAATTGATGTACTGTGTTCAGCAGGAGTGCTAAGCAGGTCTGACATATACACACAGAGGCTGCACCCCTTTCTGCTCCAGACATTAGTCACCTATGGTGTCTGGACCTGACGTAGGTTTCAAAGCAGCTGAGAAGACTGAAGAAGATGTGTCTTAATCATCTGGGCAGATGGGAGAGATTTGTTCATTTCAAATGGCTCAGTTCCACTGACAGTGTCCCAAGCAGCAGACAAAGGGGCTCAACTGGTAGATGCTTGCTTTCCTCCACCCAGCAAACACTGCCTCCCCCAAGGGTTGCTGAAATGTTCGCCGCCAGAGAACTGGACACTGTGAGATAAAGGGCCAGATTATTTAAATTGCATCAGAAAAAGTGCTGAAGGAAAATATGACTTACTTTGTGGGAGATGCAGGCTTTTTTGGCTGTTTTTCTTATCAAGAGGGACAGATTAAGAAATTTTCTTCCTGACTTTTATTGTCTTATGTTTGCCCCATTTGGCTTTCGCTCTGACTTTGTAAATGAACAACAGTGTTTTCACTGTTTAATCATGTTCATCTGCCTGACTATAGGTGTACTTGGGAAACTCTGGTTATAATTCAAAGGAAGGGAGAGACTAGAACCCCCATTTCAGTTGCTACATGCAGTGAGTCAGATGAATCAAGGGAAGGGAGATCAGACCACTACTTTTCTCTACCTGCTGTGTCCCTGCTTGGGCCTGCCCTTGGCCCTAGTGTTATTGCTGAATGCTAGATTAGTTCACAATAAGGATGGATAAAATACCAACAATTTCCCAAGTTCTTATTGATTTCGACTGATTTTGACATGAGGAAACACTGCAGGAGGAATTATAAAGTCCAGCAGTGTTCCTTTCCTCCAGCTGAGAGGACAACAAAGAGCCTTTTTTCCCCTCTCAAAGTTTCTGTATTGCATAAAGCCTTTCTAGTAAGAAGGAAAGCCCACAAGCACAGAGCAAGGACAGAAGGACTGGCAAATTGTTTTAAAAAATACGCCAGCAACCAATTTAGTGCTTCAGATTCTTAAATAAGGAAATGATCATCTTAATTTGGCAATTAGTAAACTGGCTTAAAAAATTTGAATATGTGTGTTTAATTGTTCTTAAAATGTGATATTTATACTGTCTTTTTAAATCTGTTGTTTAACCTGCTGTGAACTGTTTTGGGTCCCTTATGGGGAGAAAGGTGGCATATTAATTAATTAACAGATTGAATGGTTTTGCAGAAAAAGTGCAGAAAAAATATTCTCTCACCCACAAAACATGTTTATGCCACCATTATGAAAACTCTTTAGTAAAAGGCGAAAGATTTATGCGATCTGAAGAGAAACCAGAGTATACTTTATTGAAAACTCCAGAAAATGCTTCAGTGCTCTGACTAGTGAGGAGAGGAACATTGTGATCCTTGCCTTATCCTTGCCTAAAAGGATGCAGGAAGCAAGGTTTTACTCACATACATCCTAGTTTACAGTTGCATCACACCTTGGTCATGGATGAGAGAGCTACTGTATCACTGAACCCAATCTTTCTTAGCTTTGCCCATCTGGGTATTAATTTTAGCACCAGCCTCAGCCTGGGGAAATAGCATGATTGTATGATTACAATAGTCCCTTGCAAGCTTCCTAGCCAGTTGGGTCCCAATTTCAATGGCTGTGTTTTGCTTTCGGAAATCAAGACAGACCAGGGATGTGTTCTGATTTGTAACAACCAAGAGCTCTCCCAAGGAGAATTCAGTCTAAGTTCTACAGCAGGTCACCCATGCAGCAGGACCTCTTAGTGGCTGGCTCTTCTATGCTAACTACTCTCTTCTGAAGCCCATGGCCTGTCCTGTCAACCCCAGATTTCATGGAAGTAGACTTTTAATGGCTAGGCAGAGATGTTTTTATTTTTTAACCTGTCTGCTCTGTACATGTATCAAATGAGGAAATGACACATGGCTTTTAAAATTCGTCTCAAGGATCCCTGGGGTTGATGGCACTCTCTTCATGCTTTTCGCTAAGATTGGCTTGATTGCTCAAAGAAATCAAAGCTATGTGGAGACAGAATACTGCAAGGAAAGGCAGAAGCTCTTCTGCTATGCAGCAAGAGCTATGCAGCAAGAATAATCCATTTTCTCTTGTTCCAAAGCCTCACACAAATATTCTTCTGGGACACTCACCTTGATTAAAGTAGAATCAGCAAGCTGCTGCTTTAGCACTCCCCAAATGTATCAACATTCTGGACGTAGCAGTTTGTAACTATCACAGATGCCTTGATTCAAGGCTTTACTTTTTAATGCATGATTATCTTATAGTAAGCAGAATATCAAGGCCAATTTAAAGGCAACTTGCTTTTGCCTATGTAAATGAGAAGGATAGGCTTACATAGTTATGAGAATTGTAAAAGCCATGATTATCTTCCCCTTCTCCCTTAATAGTCATGAATATTATACTTAACTCTGAACCCAAAATATGTGTTATCTTATCTTGGGAAATATTTGTGTTAATGGTAAAAATTTGAATGTACTATTGGTTAATGCTCCATGTGGAAATAAATGCAAGTTGTTTTCTTGTGAAGAACCATGCACATCAGGTTTTGACTATGGAAACTTGTTCTTTGGGAAGAAAATTGCACAGTGTAATAATTGTACCAAAGAAGAGGGCAAAATTATACTTTGTATACTTCTAGGAGTAAACATCTATTTAATGGACTTAGAAATGAACTCAGTTTGGCCAAGTTATTCTGTAATGTCCACGTTGTGCTTCTTTATCTGAAACGCACGTTTCTCAGCAGTACATGAAAATCTAATTTAATAGGTGTAACAGTAAGATTAGCAACAGGTGGGGGCCCAAGGTTGGGAAAGATTGTAATAGAAGTTGGCATCTGAAAGCTGGTTGGCTAATTTCTGCCTGCTGAGAGGATCTCTTCCTCTCATCCAGTCTTCTTGGCTCAACGCTGAGGGAGGGAGAGGCCGGAAAGAATGGCAGTGGAAAGAGAAATCCTTCTCTTTGTGGAATGGTCTACCCTGTCCATCCTCAGTTAACTAGAAATCTTGGTCATGATGGAGACTGAGAGGATCTGCAGTAGTGGAAAGAGAAGTTGTTACAGGCCTGGTAGTGGAAGGAGAGGTCTTGAATTCCTCATTGTTCCCTCTTCCCCTAGCTTTGTGTTTTAAGTCTTTGGGTGAGAATGCTTAATTTATACCACTGCCTAGTTTATTATTGGCTCCACAGTGAATCCCCGTTTACCAAAAATTGCTAACCAGAGCTTCAGAGACTCTATAGCATAACCGTCTCTGTTGCAGTATGGTCCTGAAAAATCCACAGATAAACCAACAGTCTTGCCATTTGGAAGATGTGAGATATGAATTCCATGTAAACAACAGGCGATATTTGTATTAAAACAATCACTGCTGTACATGCTTCAGTTAAATACATCTATGACTAAAATAAATGTTCAAAGATGTGTTAGAGCTCCATGTGACAGAGCTGGGAAGATGGATTCTTTGAGGCATGAAAAACTGTCCCTGGAGTTTGGTTGAATCGTTTTGTGCTTAAAGGAATCAAAATATTTTTTCTGTAGTATCTATATCCTGTCACTATGACAAAATGATTAACAGCTTGGTCATTCTTTTCATGCCTTTCTGTGCTTTGTTTTTTAAAGTTCCTCCAAGATACTTTAGATGCCCTGTTTAATATCATGATGGAACATTCTCACAGTGATGTGTATGACATTCTTGTCTTTGATGCCCTGGTAAGTGTTAATATATCAAATATTATAAACACAAAATCCTGGGGCACATCCTCTCTGTTGTTCATTAATTTTGACCTATGGACTGTTTTATGAAACAACTTAAAACTGAAAAAAAGAGAGAGTTGCTCTTCATATTTTACATGACTTCAACTACTACATAGATGTGCTCTACCCATAAGGAAGAAAGTGGGTATCTTAAGTCAATCAATCAGTCGCGTAATTTTTATATATTTATTCAAAGTGACCACTGTAAACTTTGCCTCTTGAAAAAGTGGTTTCACAGTTGATATTTGATGTACAAAAGCACTAATCTTATCCATCTCTTGCAGATTTATATAATAGGGCTCATTGCTGATAGGAAATTTCAGCATTTCAATACTGTACTGGAGGCCTATATACAGCAACACTTCAGTGCAACTTTAGCATACAAGTAAGTTTATAATAGTTTGCATCACTATGAATAAAGGACATATGTACAACCCACATTTCATTTTCCAAAAGTCTGTTCAGTCCCTGGTATTACCATCCAAAAACTTCTTGGGTTACACAACTGGACATTATACCTTCCTGAAACTTTGGATACCTCTGCCTCTAAGGTCAATAAAGGTTTATAATATATATAGCTTGTCATAAAATTAACATAGGCATTCCTTACAAAGCTGCTATATTTAATAACGGTATGTTTTTATAGATTGCCACATTGATCTTGGAGAGTGGAAAAGAAGGCAAGCCAGAAAATTCTGTAATTATTCAATAGCTTTTCCTTGAAAAGTGTGCCAAAAACTTTTAAAAGGACAGGAAGTTGGTATATGGTATATTAAGAGCCCTGGCTCATTTTTCATCAGTTGCTGCTGAAACCATTTGCTAAGGATGTACAGTATGTGCGTGCGTTTTAATATGAAATGGCAGAGATGCTTTCTCATAGAGTCCAAGTGAGACCCAGTCTATGTAGTCTGCCAGCCACCTGCAGGGTGATTTCTCTCCCATCCAAGTTTAGTGCATAGCAGAATTCTCCACACAGACTGCCTGTATCAAGTGGAAACTAGGACTCTGTTCTTGGCAGCTTGTCATAGTGGTACCACGCGGTTTCTCCACATTGTGGGCTAGTCACATGGTGAACTGAGTTATACTTTTTAGATCCACAGGATGGATAATGTACCACATACCTTCAGCTGGCTTTCACCTGAACACCAGCCCTGTGAAATAAATCTACTACAGAAGTGGTTGGATGTCCTTTTTCCTGGACTGAGAAAGACTAAGAATCTGATCTGGCCTAAAATGGCATGAACACTAAGCTGTAGCAGGGTCCCCTGTTCAACTGTTTAAGGGCTTCCCAGTATAATTCAGCAGATTTTATTTTATTTAATTCAGCAGAATTTATTCACCGTCTAATACATAAACTCATTCAGTGCATGAAGGTCTGTTTTGTTGCTGAGAAAATGTACTAGTTCTATGTGAGGCTTATTTGTTACTTTCCCCCCTGCCACTGTCCTCCACTGGATAGGTCTGTGGAGCCATTTGCTATCTCTATGTGTCCATATGAGTGTGTAAAACAGAGCAAAATATATGCTTAAATATTTGCTTTAAGTAGGTCTGATTTTCTAGCTAATTCGATCCAGAGTTGATCAAAGGTCCTGCTGAAACCAATACAGACATTAGCTGTGATGTAATTTAAATTCTATTGATTTACATGGTGAAGAAATACAACAAGCTAGCAGTGCAAGCCCTATGTAGGTCTGTTCAGAAACTGACTCAGTTTTACTGGGTTCAAGGGAGCTTACTCCCAGGCAAGCAGCTATTAGCACATTTTCAATTAGGATCCAGTCCACTGTTTTAAAAGGGAACCCATAGCAGTTGTTTTCATTGCAATTTGTGATTCCATCCATGTACTTTTCTGTTTTTCTCATAATCACCACCATTGTTAGGCACATCATCATTATCATCACTGTCATAGTCCTTATCAAAACACTCTCATGCTGAATAAACTTAGTTATTGCAACTCTAGGCAATTCAACTAACTGTGAATTGTTTGACCTAAACAATTCCCACCCCTAAACTGTGCTTCCAATATTTTTCACTGCAATGACTGGCTGTGGGCCAAGGCCATCCTTTATGACAGATAGAAACAATAGCTGGAAAGAAAGGTCATGACACTGCGATTTCCCCTCTATTGAATGGTGCAATAATCTATATTGGAATTATAACATAATAAAACAAAATGTAGTCATATTATTGGATCAACCATGTATGTTTGCCACTTCACACTTTTTAGCAATCTAGTGTGGCAAAGGCTACAGTCACACTTACCAAATGTTTCTGGGTTACTCCTCATGACTCTTTTTTTTGGGGGGGGTGTTTAGATAATGCATGGCCATTATCAATTCTTTTGTCCCTCCTCCATGCTATCTCCTCATCAAATTCGGCTTGCAGGGAGACTACTACTATTTTTGTTCTGCATTTCATGGCACAGTACTACCAACATTGCATTCAGTGTGTACTCCTAAACCAATTCATTTCCTTTACTTCTGGTTTGCGGTCCCACCTCCCCACCTACTTTTGATCAACTCTCTTTTTTAAAAAAAATTCAAATGGAAAAGCACCTTGGTATTCTTCTGTCAAATGCAGCTTGAAGTACAACAGTGTGCTATTGGTTCTCCTATATAGAGGGTAATGCAGTGCGGAAATGGAGGGGGGGGAAGGCACAGATCACTATGTGGCCAGCAATAGATGGCCCTAGCACTTATGGGCAAGAGGCTTTCTAACATCATCACAAAGAGCAAGCTTCGGTGATCTGAGGAACCCTGCATAGGCAGTCTGGGTTGGGAAGAGGGGCTGGGTGGATATTAGAGAGATGGGTCAGGTTTTATGAAGGCACGCAAAAGAGAAGCCAATCCCCAGTCCCCTCCTGACTGGCAAACCATGACAGCTCTGAGACAACACTGGCTAAAGGTCAATGAAGCTGAGCGGTTCTCTCCTTGAAGAGGTGGCTCCTTATTCCATTTGCTTCACATGGCACATGAGATGGTGCCCCCCTTCGCTCATCCCTCTGCCCAAGGCTCCTCCCCCTCTCACCTTGCTCTCTTTCTCCACACAAGGAATATGTGCATTGAGACCCTTTTCTGCTGCGGTTGGGGAAGATTGGAGAAAGAGCTTTTGTACTTTCCAAATGGCTAATCCCATCAGGGGCAATGGGGTGGGTGTGTCTGTGTCTGTGCAGGTGTGCAAGGGGGAGGCACCTTGGCATGTGTCTCAACCCCAGGGAATAATAGGGGAGGGGAAAAGCCCCAGCAAATAATCCCTTCACGTGCTAGACCACCCCCACCCATGCAGGGCTTCAAAAAGGAAAGGGACAAAGAGCAGGAGGGATGGAGGGCAAACTGGTGTCTCTTGGATGATGTGCTGGCCGGCCAAAACCCACCTTGCAGGGGTGTAGATGAACGTATCACAACTCATTTACCCCCCCCTCCCAAAAGGTGAAACTAGCAAAAAACATATAAACCACTTTCGTGGGATATATGTCCCGTGACCTCAATGTGTGACTATACAGAAAGCAAAAGATGTGAGGAAAAAAAGGGATACATTTTACTGGTGTGACTGTGGCCAAAGTTGGTTTTTCTCTAACACATCATCCTTATTTCAGGAAGCTAATGACAGTTTTGAAGACTTACTTGGATACTTCCTGCAGAGGAGAACAGTGTGAACCTATACTAAGGACCCTGAAAGCTCTTGAATATGTATTTAAATTCATAGTTCGGTCAAGGACATTGTTTTCACAGTAAGTATTAGATCTTGATTGCTTTACAAACAACAACAACCCAGGAACCGAAGTGTAGCCTAGAACAGCCATTTTCAACGGGGGCCATATGGTCCCCTGGGTCCCTGGCACATTTGAAGGGAGCTATAGACTGGAAACAATTTTGCACACACACACACCCAAACAAAACATGCTGCTTACTGCCCCATAGCACTTAAAGCTCTTGCTTAGTGGTTTACATACAAGTTAATTATACAGGCTACACACCCCACCTTGTAAAGTTCATCATGCCACTTACATAATCTTGATTTGGTCTATATTTCTTTCATAGTTTTTTGGCCATGGTCCAAAAAAAAGGTTGAGAATGGCTGACCTAGAACAATGCTGATCCTGGAGACACCAGAAGCTGGGAGAGGCAAAATCATTTGTCCGGTGGCAGTTTAGCCAAATGGAATGTTATATGGAAATGGGAAGGTAGCAAAATGGAACCTTCATCTATAAGAGGGGCAAGAAAAGTGCAGCCTGTTGTCCACAGGTAGATCCAAGCTCTTCTTTGTGGTCTCCCAGGTTCTTCCAGTGCTGTCCAGATTTCTTTTCTTTTCTTTCTTTTCTTAAATCAGTGTCCCAATTTGCCACTGAAATTCAGCACCAGATTTCTAGATTGGCAGTGTACTGTCATCAGGTTTATTGAGTGTTAAGTACTGATTGAAAGAAGACATAACGATTTTTTCATTACAGACCCCTACCCCTCCATTTCTTAATCCCTTGTTTCTTCAACAACCTTTGTCAGTTAAACGGCCTTTGTAAGCCTTTGTTATTTAAGCAGACATTGTCTGCCTTTGCTTTCTAATCAGCCGGTTGCTGCTAAACAATTTTAAAGTCCTATGATTCTCTAAGTTGATTTACAAGTATTCTATAATTAATTACATTTATTCCAGAATGATTTAAATGTAATCTTCAATTTATTTTAATTAAAGTTTATGTCTGAGCGGGTTCGTGAGAGAAAATTTATTGCTTAATACTAAGGAATGTTAATACAGTGTTTAAAATATGAAATAAAAAAAAATAGTAGAAAAAAACCCCACTAAGCCATTTAGTCCATGCCCCAATTGAGTACATGGCCATCAAGCAGTTGGCCCATTTGAATTTGCCCATCCCTGGATTGGTGTCCGTCCAAATTCTGGGTGATAGCCACATACCAAAGTGGAAGCCATCTCATACATCCATTGCTTCTGAGTACCCCATTTAGCTGACTGCTTCTGAAAATAGAAATCTTTCCTAGATGAATCTTGATTGCATTCAGCAAGGCAATTATACAATTTCAATTATGCAGTGATATTAATCCTTGTGAGCAGAACAGTATGAGTAATGTACAATTTTAGTTTGTTGATAATGTTGGCAATGTAGATTTTTAGAATGTAGAGACAGTAGATTGTCATGGTTCTTCATTATCACCTTTGTAGTGCTAATTACATATTGCACAGCATTTGTGAATATTTTACCAGAAATGCTCCTTTGAATATGTTTCCATCTGTATGTGTGACATTAACACCACACATAGAAAACAAAGCTTTATGGACTTTTATGGATGCTGAATAGCAGCTTCCTCACTGACTATTACAACGGTATCTCAGTGACTTTCACTGTAGAAATAGTTAATAGTGAATGTCTGTCTGTCTGTCTGTCTGTCTGTCTCTTATCTATCTATCTATCTATCTATCTATCTATCGATCTATCTATCTATCTATCTATCTATCTATCGATCTATCTATCTATCTATCTATCTATCTATCGATCTATCTATCTATCTATCTATCTATGTATGCATACCTGTATGTATGAATGTATAGAATGTTATACCATTCATCTTTTTTTTAAAAAAAGCCCTCAAAGGTTTAAAAAACTATCTATCTATCTATGCATACCTGTATGTATGAATGTAATGTTATACCATATATCTTTTTTTAAAAAAAGCCCTCAAAGGTTTAAAAAAGATGCATTGAAAACAATAATGAAAAATTAGAAACCACAATAATAGTCTTATGCTTGTTGACTGAGAATCAACTCACACTGAATTAAATGGAACTTATTCACAACTAAGTGTTCATAGGATTGGAGTGTAAAGATATTAAATCTTTGACTTGAGCACAAATTTGCTAGGAGCTGCTGGATAGCTCAGTGATTTAGTATCTGGTTGGGCAGAAAACAATAATGAAAAATTAGAAACCACAATAATAGTCTTATGCTTGTTGACTGAGAATCAACTCACACTGAATTAAATGGAACTTATTCACAACTAAGTGTTCATAGGATTGGAGTGTAAAGATATTAAATCTTTGACTTGAGCACAAATTTGCTAGGAGCTGCTGGATAGCTCAGTGGTTTAGTATCTGGTTGGGCGTTTGCTTCCCCACTGTGCCTTTTTGATGGGGCAGGACTCAATGCTCCATTGGGTCCCTTCCAGCTCTGCAGTTCTGAGATGATGATGATTAACATAATTCAAAATTACAACAACCATTTCCTGTTGAGCTTCACTCTGTTTTGCTTTCCTCCTACGCACCACTCTCCTTCCTTTTTCTGCCTCTTATGCACAATTGTATTTTTCTGATTGTACCTGCAAGTTGTCTAGATATAATCAAAACTGGGCTCTTGGCTGTTCAGCCTTGTTTATCCAAAACAGGACATCATGTCCATATAGGCTGACCTTTACGGGTAATAGAATTGATGGGTGGAAGCTTTGCCAAGCGGTTTATTTAATACATCTATAGATTTTAGGAAATTACTTTTAAAAATTCTGGTAATTGAATCAGAGTTGTGTAAGGTCAAGAGGAGGAAGGCACAATTTGCATATTGAACTTGGTGTGCTCTTGAAATATACTTAGGATAGAATAATTCACTTTTTTCCTTAGTCACTTTGTGACAGCCTTCCCCAACCTGGTGCTCTTCAGATTTGTTGGACCGACTGAAGGGAATTGGAATCAAACACATCTTGACCACACTAGTCAGTGGAAAGGTGTTTCACGCAATAGTTTTCCTTCTTAGTTTGAATATGTTCTATTGATTTTCACGTTGTTCACCTTAGGAAGAGATGGGAAACTTCATTGGCTTCACAACCAATTTTATGCTGTCATTATCTACTGAGGGCCACATAGACCAGGAAAAATGGCAGAAGGAGGACAAAGCGAGCAGATAAGAGAGCCCAGTTCCAGTTTTCAGAGGTGGCTGTTTAGGGTGTGCCAAACACTGTGCTGAATCAAGGTGAATCACTGCAGAGTTTGCCTTTAAGGGGAACTGAGGATGTCTGACGGGGATTGGGGCAGCAAAAACAGCTGGGGAACACATATAGTCTCTGGGCTGGACTTTGGCCACTCCTTGCTTTAGGGTATCTAACCATCCCATACTACAAAACATTTGTTGTTGTTTAGTTGTTTAGTCATGTCCGACTCTTCGTGACCCCATGGACCAGAGCACACCAGGCTCTCCTATCTTCCACTGCCTCCCGGAGTTGGGTCAGATTCATGTTGGTTGCCACAATGACACTGTCCAGCCATCTCATCCTCTGTCATCCCCTTCTCCTCTTGCCTTCACACTTTCCCAACATCAGGGTCTTTTCCAAGGAGTCTTCTCTTCTCATGAGATGGCCGAAGTATGAGAACCTCAGCTCCAGGATCTGTCCTTCCAGTGAGCACTCAGGATTGATTTCCCTCAGAATTGATAGGTTAGTTCTCCTTGCAGTCCAGGGGACTCTCAAGAGCCTCCTCCAGCATCACAATTGAAAAGCATAAATTCTTCAGTGGTCAGCTTTCTTTTGGTCCAGTTCTCCCTTCCATACATCACTACGGGAAAACCATAGATTTGACTATGCGGACTTTCATTGGCCAACTGATGTCTCTGCTTTTTAAGATGCTGTCAAGTTTTGTCATTGCTTTCCTCCCAATAAGCAGGTGTCTTTTAATTTCGTGGCTGCTGTCACCACCTGCGGCAATCATGGAGCCCAAGAAAGTAAAATCTGTCACTGCCTCCATATCTTCCCCTTCCATTTGGGTCCAGTGGCCATGATCTTAGTTTTTTTTTATGTTGAGCTTCAGACCGTTTTTTGCACTCTCCTCTTTCACCCTCATTACAAGGTTCCTTAATTCCTCCTCACTTTCTGCCATCATAGTGGGTATCATCTAGTTCCTTAAATCTGTTCTTCACTTCCACTGTATATTCATAAGGGATTTAGTTCAGATTATACCTGACTAGCCCAGTGGTTTTTCCTAGTCTCTTCAGTTTAAGCTTGAATTTTGCTGTGAAAAGCTGATGATCAGAGTCAGCTCCAGGTCTTGTTTTTGCTGACTGTAATGAGCTTCTCCATCTTTGGCTGCAGAGAATATAATCAATCTGATTT